TCATGAAAAGAAAGATAATATGAGAATAGAGCCTTTTGGTCAAAGAACAATTAGAATGTTGCTTGACGTTCACATTTGTAATTTCAGCAGACTACATTTTGAATCCGATCAAAACCCATGAAATAAATACGTAAAAAACAAGATTTAAAAATGTATCAAAACTTTGAAAGAAGTACACATTGACTTACAACGTTGCGTGGTAACCTCCCAAGCCGTCTAGTTTCATGCAAATGGACGATTTTTCCACCAAAGGAAAGACCAGATATCATTTCAAGGACCGACTAGAAACATGACATTAGAAATAATTCATTAAACGTCAAAAAGCCTAATAATAGTTTTCTGGATGATAGCTATTTATATGCAAAATGTGAATGTTTACAAACATGTAATATTTGATATAGCAATAATTAATACGTGTACAACTAATTGTTACATTTATACTAAGTTTTTTAAATTCAAATTCCAGATTTTGTTTTTGGATCATTATCTTATCTTCACATGAAACTAGAGATAAAAAACATACCATGTCTGGATCACCGACCGGAACACATTTAATTGGAACCTCTAAATTTGCGAGATGATCGACAATATTCCCTAATTCTGCAAGTGTCTGTAATAGACGTTATCAATCAATTTTACTATTTTAAATTTATGATGGCGAAATATTGCTAAGCTTCATACATGCAATATTAGATAAATACCCTTATCAATTCTTGATAATAAAGATGCTGACCTGCTGGAATTTTGTGCATAAGAATGATAAAACAAATAAATCATATACACACTATAGGATACAAAATTTTATAAACACAATTTAAAAGATCAGCAACCCAACTGTTCGAAAAATATATTAAAAAGATAATATCCCCTTTTAAAATACTGAACACTGAAGTAACATATATTTAAATAGTTGCACCAATATTTAAATTTTCCACCCGTCTTCAAATCAGTAGATCTTTGAATATTTATAACAGGTATGTATCTGTAAAGAGTAGTATTGAGTACACGTATCTACGTTGAGTGCTTGAACAGTTAACTTATAATTCCATATATTTCTTATATGTCCAAATTTATGACACTGTAAAATCCTATTTTTCACAGTTTTTTTAATTTTCGTTGTTTTTGCGCTGTATTATATGGGTGTACGTTTCCGACACACAATATTTAGTTTACATTCCACTTAAGAAATGGATATTTCCAATGATGATTTAATTTGTTATGTTCTTTAAAATCAGTATCTTAAATCCAACATACCCTCCCGTTATCATATACATCCGGGTCCTCAGGGCCTTCGGGATAATGAATATCTGTCGTCCTGCCATCCGAAATAAGAATTATATTTGGTCTGATGTTCCATTTCCCCACACGGCTTACTCCAACTATCAACCAGTGTTAAAAGTATTTATCATTTTAATAATACATTTTATAATTATATAAACAATATACTTGTATAGATATGAAGTTACAACAAACTTACTGAGTGCACCTTTCGATAGTAAAAGACCTGCACCTATTGGTGACGGACCATTGCATGTTAATTTTTCTGAAATAGAATGCACTTCTGTTATTTTCCTTCAAATTTTCATGTATCAGTTTAAATTAAAAAAATCTTTTTTGTTTCTTGAAAAAATAAAACACCAATATTATTAATTTGAAAGGGGAACGCATTTACCAACAGACTGTTTTATCTCATAGTATCGGCTGGAATAATAGCAAAGGAATTTATTTTCTTTTCCAAATGTGATAACAGCAACATTTTGATCCAATGAAGAAAATCTTTCGTATTCTGTAAACAAGATTTATCATTCATCAGTTAAAAAATACATTTATGCTGAAAAAAAAGTCTTAGAAAAAATGATCATGATGGTATTTATCTAAACTGTATTTTTTTTTCAAAACAAAACTTTAGAGTCCAAAGTGCAAATGTTTTTTTTACCATTAAGAATGTCAGTAACTGTTCCTTTGAGTTGTTTAATGCCATCACCCTCCATGCTGGCAGATGTATCCAGAATGAATATAGTGTCAAATCCACTTCCATGTTGAAACAATAAATCCTTATCTAATAAATAATAGATATTTATAAGGTAGATTGCACAGATTTGGAGATCAACAAAGGGAACGACAAAAATAAACTTTTATCGTTATTATTCCTTTAAATGAATTATAGGAATCCTCCAGTATAACTCGGTATGTTAACTAGGCTACAGTGAGTTTTGAAAAATATAATCACGATAACACCATAAGAAATGATAAGTTTTGCTGAGGTGGGTTCTCTATTTAATTGATTTTTAATAGTCATTTAATCAACTACATGTTATTGTATTATAGAAACTGAAACATATTTCATTTTGAATGATCTTCAATTCCACCTGTAATCATATCTTTTAAAAATCATGACAATACCATTCATCAACATAAAAAAAATATGGAGATTAATGTGTTCTATATGAGACATATCATGCCACATGTTTAGAAAAGTGGATAATTCTTAGAATTTTTTCTCCTAAGAACTGGAAAATGAAATAGACTTAGAAATATTAGTAATATTTCAATAATATTACAAATATGGACAAAACACACTCCGTACGTAAAGGTTTACAGATGAAAACAAATTTCAGAATATGCATGTTAGCATGGTGCTAAGCGTGTAATATAAACTTTAGAAAAATATACCAAGCCAGGTGAATTTTATTTAGGAAAAGCAAATTGGTAAAAATCAGCCTATGTGATATTGCTTATTTTTTGTCATTTTGTTTTCTCATAAAATTCACCTGGCTTGGTATATTTTTTTTTAAAAAGTTTTTATTGCACCTTTAGCATCAACTTGAAGGTAACATATTCTGAAATTTGTTTTCATCTGCAAACCTTTACTGAGAGTGATTTGTCAATATTTGTTATCTTATTGAAATTTTACTTGAATTTTCCAAGTCAATTTCATTTTCCAGTTAGTAGTAGAAAAAAATCTAGGCATTATCCACTTTTCTAAACTTGAGAGATGATATTATGTCTCCCCAAAGAAAAAAAATTGTTTGTATCATCTGCCCTTAACTCAACACTTGCATCAGGTTTTCGTGAAATTTGACAAAACCTCTCAGAGGGTTATGTAGAACAATAAAACAAACAGGTATACCCGTTCAATGCAATCTAACTTTTATCTAAGAAATTCTTTTGGCCTCTAACCAGCAGAGCTTCAAGATCCCTAAATACATTGAAGAGAAAATATGATAATGTTTTACGTTTCTGTCCCGCTATGTGTGCCTCTTCCAGCCAGTGGTCTGTAGGAACTCGTCTGGTCTTTACCAATGCAAACTTTTTATCTGAAAAAATGTAATTATTCTATCAAGAATTCATAACTGCACTGAGGGCAAAGTATGTGTACACACATACGTACAAAAAATCAAGAAGACTGTTATTTTGTATCTACTTATTGCGACTTTAATTTATTACTGGATCTATAAGTAACATTTATATACATGTACAAGTATAGGTGTACATTTGTTAGTAAAAAGGATTCATGTGCGTATGCATTTTATGTGTATAGTTTCAGAACCGATATATTTTAAAATGAAGCTACATGATGTTATTACACATGCATGATAAAGCTTTAAATTCAATGATGACACATTTACCTTCCTGACTAGGAAACTCAGTCTTATTGTCTGTTTTCTTTTCTTCATTATGCAAATCCTTTGTCGTCGTGCCTAACTTTTGTTCAATATTTTTCGATTCCTCAGTCATAACAACAAGCCTGTTGTCAAAGTCACGCTGAGTTCGCCTCCTTCTCAGTTTCCTACTACTCTCCGCTCCAGTCAGTATCTCCTCCATTGCTCTTACACTTTGAAATGAACTACTTTTTTCTTGACTTTGTTGTTCGGATTCCTTGCTGTTAATGTCCATAGAACGCTTCACTGATTCAGACACAGAGTTTTCAGGTTCAAGAGAGACGGAATTACCCTCAACATGACTTCCCAACAAGATGTGTCCATTAGGTTCGGAACTGTGGTCTTCCACTGAGGAATGTTCAGATTTCGTTCCCTCAATAGAATCATCTTCCTCGCCAATGCTTCCACTGACGTCAGGATCATCAGTTTTTTCTTCACTTGTATTCAATTCTTCATCGGTTTTATCTTCTGCTACTTCCACGAAAGAATTGTTTGATGACTCATCTCTACTTTCAGATAATGTTCTTGGTTGTTCTTCAGGTATTTCCTCACTAAAATAATCAGACTGATTTAAATCAACATCAGTTCTGCTCTGCACATTGTCATCCATATCTTCTTTTTGATCATCATCTTCAGTGGTATGTTGAAGAACATCAGAAGTCCCTGAAGCTTCCATCGTATTGACATCTCTGAGTTGACCAATAGACTGATTCAGTTTGGAGATGTTTTCATTTGTTGTCAGAATTGCTGTGATTAACTCCGATATTTCTTTGTTCTGTCTGGAATCTGTTTCAGACAGTTCTACTACCTGAGCTAAGAGCTTGTCTAAAGAGAATGAACCAAATTCTAATAATAACAGTCAAATTGTTAATAGTTACACTATGGATTTTATTTTACAATGTTTATACTTTTTTTCTTGTTTAATTCTTTTTCATTATCTTAAAATTGTATCTATGAAATGGGAAAATAACGTGAAACATGTAGTGTAGGTTTAGATCTCATTTGGTAAAGGAAACAAATAATTAAATGTCTTACCTAGTTTATTATCGTCGCTTTCGGATACTTTACTGTGAAATAGAACAGATATTAAAGCAGTTCCTAACTGATTACTCATTCATTTCAATACAAGTACAAACAATTGCAGCAAAATAATGATCGAAGTTAGTGATAACTAATGTGAATAGTAGCTAGAGAATCATTTATCTTTTTTGGGATTCAAATTAACTAAATAATTGTCTATAATATAACTGACAATTATATCAAAAGTAAGTGTTAAGCTCCATGAACAACTTTTTTTGTCTAATCCAGACATGTGTAGAATTAAATTATCTGAACATAGTTTACCTCCATTCTTCCTCTGAATTTAATCTCTTAGTGATGAACATATTTTCTTTTTGTACTATATCCATTTTCTCATTCACGTTCTTCAACTGAAAATGCATAGTACTGGATGATTTTATTTTCTTACAATTTTGCAAATGCATGTACAGACAAACTTCGTTATTTCGAACATTTCGGCTGAGAAAAAAAAAAGATAACCGGGGATTCGAGATTCTTATAGATTAAGTGGTTGGGACTTCCACGTCACTTCGATATATACATGGTATTTGAGATATCGGAGTTCGAGATATCGAAGTTCAACTGTATATAATTTCAAAATTCGTTTTAATTTATACATAGCTCTCATCTCTCCTTATCACGAATTTCTCTCTTTAAAGTTTTGATGAATTGTCCTTGGACTCTTTATATTGATTTGTGATAAACAATTGTTTTCTCTCTCTCTCTCTCTCTCTCTCTCTCTCTCTCTCTCTCTCTCTCTCTCTCTCTCTCTCTCTCTTGGGGATTGATAGAACATTTTCATCTTACCTTCTCAATCACTGCCTCCATATCTGGAAAATCTTCTGACCCAACTTCCTATCAACAAAAGAAAAGAGTTCTAATTTCTGTTTCATACAAATTAAAGTTTCACCATTTGAAGTCAAACATAAATGTTAATAATGCTAATAAAGTAGCCAAGTTCTCAGAAAGAAATCCAAAAAAAATATCATGTAAAGTATGTTATATCTTCATTTTTGATTTTTATTTCATTTTAGTTGGTGGAATCTATAAATACATGAAAAATGTCTAAATTAAGCGAATATATGTTAAATATTTTACTTCCATTCACTAGGTCGTGGTCGTAAATACTAAATAGTAATGAAAGTTACCAACTGCGCGCATTGATGACGTTTTCCGACCAATTTTTATCTTTGATACATCAGGCAATGGAAAAAAATATTACTTTCATTTCTCAAATCCAATAGACATTTTTGTATTTGTAGGGAGTATACACAGAATTTAAAATCCGTACATAATCATCCGAATTCCTTACCGAACAAATTCATGTACATGCTTATTGATTTAATTGATTATAAAATATGTTTGGACTCAATATCAATACACATATATGTGTATATGACAACTGCATAAGCTCAACATTGTTAGAAACAATTTTTAAAAGTCTTAAAGTTAAAGTGAAAGTAGATTTAATGATGTAAACATTTTAAATATCAGAGTTAATTTTCATTTTTGACATTTGGGAGAAATAGGAGTGGTTAAACAAGATATCAGACTAAGAAAAAGTAAGAATGATTTAATGTTAAGCAGAAAGTCTTTAATGTATATTATATTTTACGAACCTTGCTATGTTCAATCTGTGAGTCCATTATTCCTGCTGATAATTTTCAATCTATAAATAGACGTTAAATTCCCCTACAGTTATTTAGGGAAATCTGCTTTCCGTTTGCTAAGCATTTTAAAATTTCCTTATCACAAAGTTTTCCTATCCACATGAACATTATTTATATACGTAGGATTATGCAAATAGTACATACAATGAAAAATATATCAATGACCCTGCTTTTGCAATATAGGTATTTCACAATTATTTTCTTCCGAAACTCCAATTGAATTTTCTTTATTTCAGTGTATACTTGCCATGCCTGTCATTAAAAACTGGTGCTATCTGTTTGGTTTTGGCCAAGCCACACAATAAATTTAGTGGGAAAAAAAGAAAATGTGCATAATATATATATATATATATATATATATATATATATATATATATATATATATATATATATATATATATATATATATATATATATATATATATATATATATATATATATATATATATATATATATATATATATATATATATATATATATATATATATATATATATATATATATATATATATATATATATATATATATATATATATATATATATATATATATATATATATATATATATATATATATATATATATATATATATATATATATATATATATATATATATATATATATATATATATATATATATATATATATATATATATATATATATATATATATATATATATATATATATATATATATATATATATATATATATATATATATATATATATATATATATATATATATATATATATATATTGAAAGATATATTTATATAAAGTTTTGAATTGTTATACAGTAATCTTTCTTAGAAAATTTTCATGATTCTATTTTTTTTCATTTATACATGTACATGCAAAATATCCCCTGTCATTATATTTTTATTGAAAGAATTATTAAAACTTTATGCTTTTGAAAGTGGGAACAACGAGACAGATTTATAAATAATTTTCACAGCATAATTGAAAAAAAAACCAAAATTTATCCAATTTCTAAAACCTTTTTTTACAAAATCTTTTTGGGTTGGATGTGTTAACTTTTTCACAACAAGATTATGTATATCGTTAACTTTGTGAGATTTTGACCATGCTTTGAAAAAGTGTGTGAGGGTGTTTAAGCTTGAAAAGGGGTGGGCGTCAATGAAAAAATAACACTTTAAATATAAATCCGTGGTGAAAAGGGGATAACCGGCTTTCATAGAATGAAAATTTCTTGTGTTGAACGGAAGGGAGGGTGGGGTGGGGGTGGGGCTAATTGGATTTCAATGACAAAGTCACTATGCCGAAATGGGATTTATTTAATCCCCTTCCAAAGCCCCCACTTCTTATGAAAAGTAAAGATAATTATAATAGAGATATATGGTAAAAATTGTTTTTTTTCTGTTTCTTTTCAAAGTTATCCTCAAAAATATTAATCAATTTAATATCAAAAATTAAACCAGTTTACCAATATGACTAGAATTTATTGTGAGTGGTCCCGGGGAAAATCGCACTCTATACATTAAACTATTACCAAGAGTAACCCAAGTCCCTCGTAAAAATGAATCTAATGCAAGAGTTTCAAAAGACTTAGTGAAGTCCTACTCTAGAGCCAGTCTGTTACAAAACTTATTCCAGCGGGAGTCAGGACTACATGTATGTTTCATATGGTCATTCCGGGGATTAGTCCTGTAACCAGAAACTGGACATATGATAACATTGACTGCTCAATTAATATGGCACTTGCTTCTGTCATAAACTTTTAACCCATAATATATTTAGAAAGGGCTGGAATTTTCTTAGTCATGATATTTTCGTTGCGATTCTTATTTTTACACAAGTTAAAAAATTATTACAGAAAGATGGGAAAAGGGGGGATACATTGTTAATGTGTATGCATTTCTCAACTTTTGTGTTTCTGTTCCTTCTTGCCTCTGGCAATTTATCTTTCCCAAATCATAATTGTGTGATTCATCCAGCTGCCGTGAGTATAGGGATTGGTTTTTTTTTTTCAAAAAACAATATTTAAAAGAATAAGAGCAGACTTTTTCTCTCTCCTTTTATTCTTAAGAATTATGTTAAAGTCAAAACTGTTTCATTTTAAGAAATAAGGTAATATCATTTTTTGAGTTTTATTGGGATGTAAAACGGGTTGGTCACGTGATCAAATCTCATAAAGCCGTTTTACATCCCAATAAAACTCAAAAAATGATACCATATCACTTATATTTACATTTGTGACTGATTTTGTAGAATGGCGTTTTCCTCGTTCAGTTTTACCTTTCAGGTATAGAGAAACTCCAGGAATTCTGGGAAAACTTCCTCGCAATCACCTGTTTCCTCTACATGATGATCAAAAGAAGAACACCAGACCTGAATAAAAGATAATAAACTTATTAAATGGAAATCTGATTTTGCAGGGTTTTTCCATATGCCATCATTTACATATATCTCCATAACACGCTCTGTATCATTTATATCATCACTGCATATTATTGCACACATAAGGAAGAAATATTACGATATACACAAAACGTTTATGAAGTAAAAAGATTTTTAAATAAAGCCTTCTTCAAACATTGGACTGTTTAACATCATCATAACCAATGCACAGTGCCTCTGGCCCAATACCTTATCTTTCACACTAGACAAAAATGTCAAAAATCTCAGTGTCTGGTTTTAACTTTTACTTAGACATGGAATCATACAAACATTAATTTTAGAAAATAATAGGAACAAATCTAAGACTTTAAACAGTCAGGTCCATAATATGCAAACAGGTTATTGGAAAAATAACTTGTAAAGTTTATTTTACAAACAGATTTTTTTCCCTTTTAATAAGGGGTAGAAAAGATTGGTAACTCATAGTGACAAAGAAAATAACTCATTTGAGTTTTATTTTTGACAATAACCTTTTTGCATTTTCCACCTGACTGTTAAATGAACGTGATAAATTACGCATAAACCATAAGATATCCAAGGCTCTGCATTTTCACTTTGTTCACTAAAATCCTATCTTTAAATTTATATTTGATGTGACAAAATGTTTGTTCAGCTCTATGTGTTTCTTAAATACAAAGGACAAAATGTCCTACAAGACCCAAAATACTTTTGCCTTCTGCATCCATAGAAAATACACTGTCTCTTAGACTAGGTTCTGCACTTTCACTTGTTTCATTAACATCAGATTCCGTAGAAAGTACGCTGTCTATAGCCCAATACTTTTATCCCCTTACCTGATTTTGTTTGTGAAAAAATATTTTCAATCTAATTCTTGACTGAGGGTTGTTATATACAGCATTCCTGACTCTCTCTATACATAATGCATGCAAGGCCTAGAAAAAGAAATACGTTTTCACTTTCAAGCATAGGGTATATATGGATAAGGCACTGAATTAATCCACTTTTTGAGAATTTTTTTTCAAACAAAACATGGATGAAAATACGACTGGTGTTTTGAAGTTTTTCTGTTAATTAAATTTACATTCAAAATTTTTCATACCTTGGTCATGTTGGTGAAAAAAAAGAGAATTCAGATCCTCACTAGAAAACATTTAGAAAAAGATATAAAGGACAGTGCTATATTTTAGGGTTAGTAAGTTAAGCGGAAACGTATTCTGAACTAAAGTCGCTGAATTCTTGGTTACAACAGAAAACCACGTAATCTGGTGGTTGGACCCCGTTCATTGGCTTTCCAAATTTTTGCATAAGGCCTTGTCCGTATTTCAGAGAGGAAGTTGAACCTTCCATCATGTCAAAACTCTGTTTAAATATAAAAACATGTTTATTTTATTACAAAACATTTGATTCTATAAATGTTGTATACAACTAGAATAATTCCTTATCGTCAATAAAAATATTAGCTTCAATTCTGTAGCGTATTGGTTTTATATATTTGGCTTTGACCATAACGCTACAAAAAAGGTGCAATATAAGGTGCAATATTTTTGCGCACTTTTGGGAAGAATTTCTGAAAGTGGAAACATACTACAGAGAAGAACTGAGCTCAGAAATATTTTTTTCACTATTACAATCTGTTCAAGTGACTCTAAAACAATGCTTATTGATAATGAAAAAGTCAGAAAAAAACATAAATTAGAAATTTTAGATCCTATTTACCTCTGGTTCGAGCTCTATGTGGAATGTGAACAGCCCTTTCTCGAGCTGGAACCTGTACATAACCCCGTCCCTAAGTATGCGTTTATGAGAATCTTTTTTGAAAAAAAAAATCAATACTGCATGTGTTAAATAAAATAATCTAGCTGTGCTAACAGATCGTGTGTGACGACACTGAATTGTTGGACGTACAGTGTAGGGAAACAAAAACTCAAGGACAGCACCCTTCTAATATCAACTCAGAGTACTTCCCTGTACTAATTTAAGTACATGGATGGTATATTACAAACACTTTTTGCAAATGCCTTTAACCATTTCTGAATCGTTTTATATTATATTAAAGAGAGATATTAAACAAAAATGCAAAGATATCATATTCATTGTACATCTCAACGATGGCACATAGTGCAAGCTGATAAATAAATAAAACACAAATGTAACATGGAATGACAAAGATACTAGACAAGTGTTCTTAAGTTCACACGAATTATGCAATCCATCTATCAGCTCTGGTCGAATATAAAAAAATGAAACAAGAGGATAAATAATAATTAATAGCTATGTTTAATCTGTCAATAACAAAGCATGAATATGGCACTTGTAAAGTTTAAATTAAATCCATATAATCAGTTTATTTTGAAACAATAAAGAATAAAAAAATTACTATCTTTTTTTTTTATATTACAAATTTATTTTGTTCTCTCTGTCATTTCACTTGATCAGGATCTGAAAAAAAAAATCAGTCAGCTAAAAAGTAATCCAGACTGATACTGCTTTTTCCGTACTATAATATATATGCAGTAATTATCTGTAATTCATATATAATTTCAGGCAGGCTTTCAATACTTAAATGTGCAAGAAAAATGAAGCTGTCAATATTCATCTCTGACTTGTCATGATACATTTAATGTTAAAAGATTTCATATTGCGTTTGATAATTAAAATTCTGTACTCAAATGTTACATGTAACCGCCAAATAGAAGATCAGAATTTGTCTTCCTTTGAGAATTTTCCCCAAACGAATTAAAGATGATGAAAATTATAGAGACAAAATTCGTAAGTGTTAAAAATTTGTGTCGTTTCTTTTTTTTTCAATAATACTTCAAAATGTAAACCCTATTATTTAATTCATGTTTAATTACCAAATCTCCTGATTTCTGATATTTCCTTGGTTTCTGTGTTGATATGTTTGCCTTGAAATAGCACAACTCTGAAACTGAACATCAATCATATTTGCTCAGCAAATAATATTCAATTTTAGAGACTTTGCGAATAAAATTGAAAGTCAAATATTTCTCATTTCTGTATACTATAATCATCAAAAAGATCACCAATAGGTGATTAGGCCATGAATCTCCTACTGTATGATATCAAGGTATAAACTTTAATATAATTAATATGATTGAAAATATACTCAACAAAGAAGAAACGCATATTCTGATTAAACATGATAATCTAAGTTTTCGGTTTAAACCCTAATTTTTAAAAGTGATATTAGAGTCAGTTGTGATAAAAATCAAATAAGTCCTATTTTCCAAATTGACAAGTTAAGTTGTATCATTGACTTCGCCTCCAAATTTTAGAGCCAATCTTCTTTACCAATCCACATGTCCTTTGCGACCACTCAGCGCAAGTGGATTTTAGTGTACGGACGTCGTGCACGAATACCAGCTCCTCTCAGTCTTTGAGAACATTTTGTGCATTTTATGCTGATTTCAGCAGTTTGTACAGAAGTTTCCAGTCGATTGCGCAGGTGCTGATGGAGAAGCTGACAGTCCTTTCAGGATGTGGTTTACCGCCAACAGGATCTAGGTCCGTAATATGTGTTCATAGCTGGTGGAGACGTGCGTTTAACTGCTGCAAAGTCGTTTGATGTATACCAAATGCAGTTAAAACTTCTTATTTTGGTTATAATCATTGTTAGAGCCTTATTGCGTTCATCTTAATTCAGGCTTTACATTGCCGCATTAACATTGCAATCAAAGCAAACATATGGTTTTAATAGGAGTGTATTGTTTCTCTAAATTAAAAATTTCATTGAAAATAGACTCATGATTTAAAAGAAATCATGCAAAACACTATTTTCATAAACATTAATAATCAGAGGAAATAATTCAACATTTGGGGTTTAAAAATGGTGTACTTTAAATAGGTCACAGGTATTTAATGATAAAAAATAGTTGTTCCATATACTTTTTCAAAATTTCTTTGATGAGTTACAATTATGCGTTTCCTTTTTTATTGTTGAGTATATATCCTTACCAAGAATTTTCTAAAGATATAAGCACTGTTGATTTCGGGTTTTTCAAAAATTTTTCCCTCAATTTATCTTGTACATCCTCAGGATAAAGTTTCCACTGCCCAGATGAATCCTTCCACTCCCAACACGTTGTTGCGGAGACTGAATCTTGAACGCTTGAAAAGCTATTTGTCTTTTGCTTATTATCTGTATAGTGGTCTTCCAAACGTTTTGACGTGGACACCGAGCTGTCCTTATTTTTATCATTAGACTCAGTTACTAAACATTTTAATAAAATTTCGCCACCTTCATTGATATCTTTCTCGTCTTTTAAAGATATATAACTCTTTACAGAGATCTGATTATTTGATTTTGCAGAAGGATTATTTACAATCTCTTCAGATTTAACTTTTGGCTTTGCAGGAGCACTTTCTTCATTTTCGAATTTTTGTAAAGCGCCTCCCGTTGATAGACCTGAATTTGAAACATCTGGATTTAAGACATCGTTTGAAGCACCAGTGCCTCCAAATAATCTATCTTTTGAATCTGTTGCCTGTTGATCATGTGTCTTTTCTTTTCCCCCTGAAATGAAACCTTACAAGAATTAATATCCATATACTTTTTTTTTAACTAATGTTTACCTTTTTGGACGGTAAATCACATATTTATATGTGATCAAATAATAAATCAAATTTATTTGTATTTAAGGACAGATGATACAAACAAAAAATGGATGCCTTGATTAGTATATATTTTTTGGCCCAATTTCATTGCAAATGAAACAAATAAATTTCTAGAATATTTAAAGAAATTATAAACCTTCTGTGATGTTCAAAAGCCCTTGTGAAACCATTCTTATTAATTTATACAAATACCTTTCCCTTCAAATCTTTTTTGTGAAATTTTCTATAAAAGATAAAAAAAAAAAACAAATACACGGTGAAACTTATTTATTTTATTTATTCAAACATGACCCAAGTTGTTATTTTCAAACTTTTTGACATAAGTTTGTTTGTATCATGTGTCTTTAATGTTTTAAGTCAACCTTACATTTTCGAGAGCAGAATGTTTTTATTCTGTTTTGTATTACCTGTATTGTTTGGATTTTTGACTGATGTAGCAGTAACCTTGGCCGAAGGTTTTCGTCTGTTTCTCCTGTTTGAAAAGCTATTTGAGATATCAGCAGGAAAATCAAAATCCGACCAAACAGAGTGCTTTACAGGGGGTGCCATATCCATAATGTTCAGAGAGGCACCAGTATGTTTTAAGTCTTCAGGAGACATCTTTTCTTCCTCAGCTGCATTTTGTTTTTCTGGCTCTTTTTCTTTATTTAGATCTAAACAAATTCAATCCCGAAATTGAAAAAAAAAGTAATCACGACAGACTGATTTTTATAAATATATGAAAACTTTACAATATAACAACAACTGACTACCTATATTTGTTGTTGGTTTTGACGGCGACGGTGGGTTCATTAATTGACTACTAGCAGAAGACATCAGATTCTGACGTTTTAAAGCTTCTTTAACTTCAGCTGAGAATGGATCACTGAAAAACAGATCAATTCGTAACTTCTAAGGTTGGTACAATGACCTTGTCAGCAAACACAATTTATCATAAAGTCAAATGCTGGCTGATGTCTTTTATACCAGCTGTTAATCCATTATTTACACACTCAATGGACGACGGATTTTTCCCTTTTTTCCCATTCATAACAAAGAGCACACAGTGGGTGTGACTGATCGGCAGGGGATGCTCACTTAGCCATGGCACCTGATCCAACCTCTGATATTTTAGAGGTCCGCTTTTGCTCTATTCCTAATTTGTATTTTTTACGGACTTTTGAGTCTGAATACTGTTCGTTATCTCCATACATTTCATTTATTGTGGTTGTTCTGAATAGAATGAATGCAGATATTGTATCTGGCTGTCGTATATCTCATAGCAAACAAATATTATGTTAAAATGCCCTAGTAACAAACAGATCATCGAAGGCCATGCTTAGAACAATGCAAAAATACTCCTTACCAAAGCTGAACATCAAATTTTCCGTAAAATCCAAAACGATAGCTATTCCTGTTACCATTCGGCCAACGTACCTTATGAACAAAATTCAGCAATATTCAGTAAAGATTTCTTTGGGCGAGAGTAACGCTTAGTCTTTTGCTTTCTTAAAGTTATACAACAAATTTTGTGCGATAAAAAATTGAAGGAAGCTGAGAACAAAGAGTTTTATCATTTTTCAGTTCAAGAGTATTTAGTTTCAGAAATACTATGCATTTTGATATAAAATAGATAAAATACTGATTTCTTTACTAGGAATTGTAAAATTTCATTTAAATGCTTAACAACAGAATGTTCAAATTTTCTGAAATCCCTTGTCTCCAGAATCTCAATACATGGTGGACGAATATAAAAAACATACATTTGGTATGTAAATGGGCTTAGTCCTTGTGTTTTTGCTTTAAAATATAGTCCATGTACTACAATGATCAAAGCCAGCAAAATCAATGAAAGACTTACATGGATTATAGCTCTTTCACTGACACGATAAACAGTTCCTATTATGCCTGCCCCTCCATCCTGGTCTCCCCATTCCCAGTCTATTCCTACAAAAAGGTACAGTAAAAAATACGTCTACTTTCCATCAATTACGTTTTTTAACTATCAAAATTAAACTAAATCTTAAAATAACATTATCTAAAATTTAAAATGGAAGTTACAAAATTTTATACTTGCAATTCAAATTATGATTTGACCAAATATACATCTAACTTGTATATAATGATAATCATTATTTTTTTTTATTTGAAGTAAAAAAAATTAAGCTTCATATTAAAAGAAATATTATAAAACGTAATTGCTAAAGAAATTGACATCAGAAATAGGCCTCGTATGGAAAAAAAGCATAAAGAATTCCCATTAAAAATACCTCTGGATACCAAACAGCCAACTGATATCAGCTCATCATTTAGTACTCGAGGGTCATCACATACTACGACCTCATAGCATCCATCAGCTCCATACCTGTGCCTACAATTCCCTCCTGTGTCCCATTCCACGGAAAGCCAACCAGCTGCATATAAGACATCGTATAAGAAAAAATAAGAATTAAGGGTAATTAATCATTTATCAATTTCCTGTGCACTTAGTCGACGTCAAAATTAGGAATTAAAACGCAAATACTAGTATATAATTAGTGCAAGAAATTATCATAAAATCTAATAAGAATATAAGGTTTGAAAAAAAATACTCGAATGAAATGTTAAAATTTACGGTCTTTAGAATGTCCTGTCACGGTGCCTAGTTGATGGCTATCATGGTCATTCCATTTCCAGTCTGGACCACGCCTTACCCTGGTGCCAATGTTAGGCATGTTAGGGTCCCTCTCTTGACACTCTTGATCTTTTAGTATCTCCTGATCATTGGCAACTGGCTTCAATTCTTTTAAGGATCCAGAAAGTATCTTAAATATATCATCCTGTTAAAAATACCACATAATAAAACATGTAAAAATTTATTTTAATTTTACGAAAGCTGATCTTTTTTACTATTAATAATAGTGCATATTTCTAAACTAAACTAGGATCACATTTAAGCTAAAAAAATTGCCTGTACAGTTTCTCAGACTTGTTTTAAATTCCGCTATTTTTACATAACCCGGTACAATTTGTCGGCAATATAACTTGGATTTCTATCAAGTTATTTGAATTGTGATTATCGTAAATTTATTCAAATGATTTAGTCAATTTAAACCACAGACAACAAACAACAAAAATATTGTTTTGTTTGTTTGTAGTTTTACGTCCACCTGGAGATTTTTACTCGTATGGAGACGCCATAACTCGCCAGTGGAGAACTCTAAATTTATATGTTTAATCGGAACTTTGGGCCATTTAGTAGTAAAGAAACATTTTCGTGCTGACACAGGGCCTTATCAGATTATACGGCCTCATTCTATCTACTTTCAACTAACAACGGTTACCAATCAAACATAAAACATCGAAGAATATGAAAAGCTACTTAAACTATTAGTAAAAACAAGGAAAGAAAACAAGAATCAAAGAATAAGAATTAAAGTCACGATGGAAATACACATAAGAAAGAGAGAAATGTCCAAAAGGGTTATGATTGATACAAATACTGTAAACCAACTTTTATTCGCGTGCGAGAAATTTTCGCGAAGTTCGCAAGATCCTTGTAATCGCTAATATTTCTCGCCGCGAACCGGACCTTAAAGTATCTACATATCTATTAACTACAGATAAAAAAAGCTTAATCGCGAAAAGTTATAGTCGCGAAGTATTTTACGCCTGGTAAATCGCGAAATAAAGTCGTCGCGAATAAAAGTTGGTTTACAGTATAATACGCACTCACTATCTGAACAGGAAATATGTTTAATTTTGCTTCAACAATATAAATTATATTATTTTAACATATATGTAAAGTTTTCTCAAAGGATCACTTCTTTATAAATTTGTGTTTTTTTTCTCTACAAAAAGGTATATTGAACACATATAATAATTTGTTTTTTTTCCTAAATTTTTTTTTCAGTGAGTAGAAGTAGGAGGAACTCTTTCATTGATTTCCTGAGTTTGTTATCTTTAAATTTGATAATTGATATTTGACTGTCTCTGGATCCGTGAATATAATAAAAACAATGTGTTGGGGACTGCGCTAACTAGGAAAGAGTTCGTTTTAAAATTAGAATTTTCTAGTATGAATCATTGTGAAAAAATGAATAAAAGGTGTACTTTAAAAAGACCCAGATTAAAATGAAGTTTGCACGGTGTAAAAGTAAGAGTATATATCAACTGAGCTAGTCTGACTATAATATTAAAAGGTATAAATTTGAAGAAGATTATCAAAATCAGGTTTCCTTATTTTTTGTATTTTTTTTTTTTTTGTGAATTGCTTAAAACACCTTTCTTACATACAAAAATAAGAATTAAAATTTGTGCAAAAAAAGCTTTAACGGACAAAATGATGCGATTAAGGATGAATAATAAATTTTAGGTATTAATTACTTATAAAAATTTTGACACATCTACGTTAGAAAACAACAAATAAAGATTAATTTTTAAAACTTTTTGAAGTTTCAAGGTAATTCTTTTGATATGAAATCAGATTTTAAATATATTTTCGTGTGTATAAAAATGTTTCAATAACTTTGATATGAAATCAGATTTTAAATATATTTTCGTGTGTATATGTAATGCTAATGCAATATATAAGTCGTCATATCAAACAGAAAATATTAACTTCAAATTTGTGTCTATGCACCTTTAATGTAGCTATTAATAAGTACAAGTCTGGTATAAATCAAAATGAAATTGTGTTTTATGTATAGATGTTAATACCACAAACCTTGTCATCTTGAGTAAATTCTTCTGTTGTCACTAAATTCGCAAACATAGCATCAAAAGTTGGTTTGTCCATCTCTGCAAGTCTTCTTTTGGCATCTTGGAATTGCAATTGTGAGGCAATGACCTTGATAAAAATACTAGTAATTCGCTCATCGCAATATATTGTTTAAGGACAAAAATACTGTTTTGTAGTCCTCTGGCATTTTGAAAATATGCATCGAAGAATCAAGTTTGGTTTCTATATTATATTACAACTCGTATAGTTTCATACAATTTCGGAAAATTATATCCTCAGTTGAAAAGGTAAGGAAAACGTATGAAAATACTAATATATATATATATTATTATTATATTATACTAAAAATGTAATGACATCAAAAATAACCTTGAAACTGGTATCCTTAAATAGAAGTTAAATAAATTCTCTGATAAACAAAGAAATGACAGAAGGTCTTTACCATTCTGCAAATATGCGTCATAATGTGAAGCATTTCTCTATTTTAAGGACATGGAAATAACCTCAAATTGGACAACCCATTACCTAACGGGGGCTTTAAAACTTGCTCTGACAGAATTTTCTTCTTTGTAAGCACAGTACTGACACAGACAGTTTTAACAGCCCTGTTACAGGCCGCAGCTACAAAATACTAGGAAGTTTGTCCTGTCATACTGACAACTGCATTTATCTCATCAGTTGCAAAGTTTTCCAAACAGTATATTGGTGAAACAACATCTCCACAGGAGAGTCAATAACCACCATTGACCATTAGGACCAAAAATTTCTATGAAAAGTTGGGGAACATTTCAACCTTGATTCACAATTGGGAGGATATGACAGTAGTGGCAATGATATATATATATATATATATATATATATATATATATATATATATATATATATATATATATATATATATATATATATAGTCATTCCGCCCTAATGGTATTAACAAACTGAATGACTTCACCAGAATGAACGTAAATTAGACCCAATTCCTGATGATACTAAACAAGATTATTCTCTCAATTTAGTGTAAACTCTACAGTCAATTTGCGTCACCAACTCTCGAACAACCCACATAACTATGTATTGTTTTCACCTTTGTTAATTATTTTTTCCCGGTAATAAGTCTTTAAATATTTCAAAATTTATAATGGATCATAATTCATATGTTTATATATCCCTGCCATCTTATTTTTCTTTGATTATTCTTTATTAAGTAAAGTTACGCCATTTTGAGAGAAAAACAAACGATTTACTGATTGTCGTAATTAATTAGCATAATTAATTCGTTCAATTATGTAAATCGCATTATGAATTTTCAATGCCGGACGCATTTCATAGCGGTCCGGATTTCTTTCTTTATTATTGTTCTTAAAAATTTAAAATTCAACATGTAATTAAGTATGTAAATATCTAGTGTTTATAGTAGTTTAGTAGTAGTGCTAGTTGTTTTTGTTTCTATTTTTCCTTTGTTCTTATGACTTTTTAACTTTTTTCTTTGTCCTTTGATATAACTGAAAATTTGACAATTTTTATTGTTCGTGTCGTTGGTCATTTTTAGTGTGTTATATATATATATATATATATATATATATATATATATATATATATATATATATATAAAGGTTTCCTTTATATATATCGCATTTCCTTTATAAAAAATAGAGGTTTGCTTTTATATTTCGCTTTTCCTTTATATATACAGGTTGGCACTAGTGGGCTTCCGTGCGTACCAATACTAAGCCATGGTATTATAAAGTTAACTATAGTAAGTAATGAACTACAATTTACTAGTAAAACTGTTTGTATTTACTTTACTCGTTAAATAAGTTTATGTCCCCTTTGTCGAAGATTCGGAGGAATATAGTTTCTGCCCTGTCCGTCTGTCTGTCTATTTTTTGCCTGTTTACTTGTTTTTCTGTTTGTCCGCAAAAACTTTAAACCAATAAGTTTGAAAATTATGTTTTTTAATCGTCAAAATATCTGAAAGCGCTGATTCAATTTTCTTTATCTTTACGAATGTTATTCTATGACCCATTTGAATCATTCTGTTGATTTTTCAAGTATCAATACAACTTACTGAGTTTAAGTAACAAAAAGGTTATCTTCATAAACAGTATTTCACAGAAAATCACAGTATACAATAAATCAATTATTATTTTAAAATGAGGCTCATTTTCTAGTCGAATGTCTGATTTCACAATCTTCTTGCAGGGGCCTGATGGGCAATAATTCAAACTTTGTGGTTGAATTTCTGTCATATTATACTAGTATATAAAGAGAGATTTTGTATCTTAGAGCAAAATATCAAAGTTTCAGAAAAATTGAACTGGGACAAATGTGGCCTATCTATTGTGTCCTAACTTAAGTGATATACATTGTTACATTTCACTAGACACTAGCCTATGTCTTTGTTACTTGATCCAGTTAAAAAGCAATTAGACTAAAGTATTATATGCGAACCAACAATAATTGAAAACTGCCATATAGAAAGATAGGGTAAACATACTTGCAAAATCCTCATTCGCAATGATGCCTTCCAAAGGCATACTGGCTCTATGTGTAGATACTACCAATTTAATCCATTGGTGAAAATGTGTAAATAAAGTGTTTGAAATTAAATTATGAGTTTAAATGTAATGTGGGAGATCTCATTTAACAGGCATCTGATCCTAGTGATTTAGAAATGACAAAAATAAAAATAAAAAAAAATCTAAATTATATTTCTGTAAAACTGTTGAAGATATTCGTTTGTGATAAATGCCCTAGTACTTACGATTCAAATGTAATGGTCAAGGTTAAAGTTTTTTTTAAAGTGGGTCATACCCTACAGACAAGATCAAATGGTCTTATATTTTTATGCCCATTTAAAGGTTTTATCACAGTGAATACACATGTGAAGCTTATAGGCCCTAGCACCAAATATTCAAAAGTTAAGGACAAGATCATGAAAGTTTCAAAAGCTTTGGCAAAATTTGGACTAACTCCACGCTCACGAGGCCAATTTGGTGGTACGACAAGAAAGATCTTTCTCAAAGTAAACACCCGTGAAATATGACAGGCATACATAGCCCCATCCACTCATAGATGTGATCAAGGTTAAAGTTTTTGCAGAAAAACGATATTATAAATGTACAAAAATCCTTTCTCAAATGAAAAATTTAAAAAGTGATTGATATATAAAAAGGACTTTCATTAATTTACGGATTTTTTTAAATCAAAATCAATGTGTCTCATTAGGTAAATGTTGTGATTTACATACATTTGTTCATTTGTACACTTATATTATAAAAGTAGGTTATATTTTTCTCGGATTTAACTTTAAAGTCCACTTATATTTTATTCTAAGGATTCTTGAAGATTTTTTTCAATTTTTCCTGAAAACGGGAAAAAAAATCATTTATGAAAATAAGAGATATTGTCTTTCAAGGCTGAAACCAAAGTACAAAAGAAATGTTTTATATTTTAAATTAAATTCTGTTGTGGTATCATCCATATAGAAATAGACAAAAAACTTACAACGTTGCGTGGGAACCTCCCAAGCTTTCTGGCCTCATGCAGATGGATAATTTTTCCTCCAATGGAAAGTCCAGATATCATTTCAAGTGTTGACTACAATCATAAAATATAATCATGGAAAATAAATGTACATGCATTCCTTTTTAAAATTTATATATTTATATTATCGATGGCTCGCTTATGATTGATTGATTGATTGTATATTGTTTAACGTCCCTCTCGAGAGGAATCATATGTAGACCATGCCAAGTGTTTTAAATGAATACTGCAAAGGTTAAATTTATCAAATGCTTAATTATTCAAGTCTCAATAAGAGTTTAAATCAATTATATTGCCATTAAGATCATTTTGAAGTATGCTCTAATTGAATAAAAATCAAAAAGAGTCATCCAAGAGTAAATTTATATGCGATATATATACGGACTACTGATACCTATACTTGAAGATTTTTATGTAACTACAGAACATACACTGTACCATATCTGGATCACCAACAGGAACACATTTAATCGAAAAATCTAGATTTGCTAGGTCCTCAACAATATTTTTTAATTCTCCAAGTGTCTGCAATAGAAAAATTTACCAAGTTTGCAAACAATTGTTTAAATGCTTTATATATTTAATATTTTCTATTAAGAAATTTAACGAGGCTTGGGGGTGGCAGCCATTTTTAGACTATTTCAATCTCCATTTTTTAAATTTTGGAGAGACATATAAAGATATAGAAATTGATCAAATTTTAAAACATAAAATTTTATAATTTTTTCTTTGTCAAATGATAGTTCACAGCTAAAGATACCATATCTGAAAAAAATATATTGAACAAAATCTGGTTTTTAATTTTAATTAATTTTTGACCCTACAGCCTCCCAAGCAAAAAGCTGTGGAAATCATACCAGTTGATTTTAAATTGATAAATATGTAACTAACTACAATTTTTAAAAGTCAGAAAATTTTTAAATGTTGAGATTTTTATCAAAATTTAAAATTTGAGTGATTTATATAAAAAAAAACTTATTCATCTGTGTTGAAACCGTTACATATATTATCATATACATCTTAATAATCTAATAAATCTTTAAATATCTCTTTTTAAATACAAAAGAATTAAAGATCTGATAGATATGGAGATAACAAACAGTATTCAATCTCAAAGTCCATAAAACAATACAAAATAAGAGCATCCGAAACATCAGAGGTGGGATCAGGTGCCATGGAGGAGTGAGCATTCCCTGCCGACCTTTCAAACCCACTGTGTGCTCTTTGTCATGATCGGGAAATAACGGGAAAATCCGTCGTCAATTCAGTGCATAAATAAAGGACTAACAATGAAAACCGTCAGTCAGCATTTAACTCAATGACAAATTATATCTGCTGAACAAGGTCATTTTATCAACCATAGAATTTAAAATATTTTTGTTATCATTGTTTCATCAACTTGCTTGTCAATAATTTACTATATCGTTTTAGAAATTGTTCATACGTAGAGCAAACCCTTGCGTATCGAATCAACTGAAATATATACACTCCGTATGCAGGTGATGTAGGTATATTGATGCATAAATATGGGAAGTTGACGATAGAGAAGTTAAAGTCATTATGTTTATCATATAGCTTGATTGTTAGATTATCATTCACGTCCTTTTCAAGTAAAATATCCAAGGATGAAACAGATGTGTCACCTGTGGTATCTTTTAAAGGTTCACCAGGATTTTCTCGACGTAGGAATGGAAATTACCATTTTTTGACAATATTTTATTCGATTTGAAGGCCACAGCAAGTGTTTTAATCTTTTCAAGTAAGATTTTGCACAAATTCTTTCATTGAGAGAATAGGTATTTTAAAGCGCAATTGGTACCCATTGACATTCCAATATATTGCTTGAATATCTGGTCCCTAAAAACCACATAGATATTGTAAACCTAAAATCTCTTATTTTCAGAGTACTTGTGTGTAGTCAGAAATAACAAAATAATTTTGTCTGTGTCAATGTAAATTTTGATCCATTTTTGATAAAAAAACAGCTGTTATATATGTTTTTGTATTTGTATATAAAGTTGAAAAGTTGTAATTTTTTCTGTTGATTTTGGTAAAATAAATTTATTAAAGTTCTTTGGAATTTTTTTCCATCTCCACATCTGATTCACACCACTTCTTAAATATATTGTTGCACCATACTCCGGAAGTTTTTCCTTCACTACTGTCAATATCTTAATGAAAAGTAACGAAAACTGAAATATATACACTTTGTATGAATTTTTATGAAGGTATATATGAGTGCATCAAAAATTACGCGGACTTGTTGCACAGAAAAAATATTTAGACATAATCAGGCAAAATGTCACACAAAATATAAAAGAATCTTTATTATATCGAAATTTCATATCAAAATGTTGTAAATTGGTATCAATTTTGAGTGATTTTTCAGGACATATCATTAATTCACGGAGCAGCAAAATCTTTGACGTCACAGGCATTATAAAAAATATGCGATTTATCTCTCATTTTCTCAACCTTTTCCCAAGAGTACCTGCACAGTTTGAGTTACCTTATCTACTCAACATCAAAACACCATTTCTTGTAAAGCTTAATATCTATTAAACAAGTAAAGAATATTCATCTCTTTTGTTTTAAAAACAAAAACTGCAGGGTATATATGAGATATTAGTGACTCTCAATCAAGTTCTTTATAGTCAGGATAAAGTTTTCGTCGAAAATCTTCTTCTCGTCCTCCCTTATACCCTTTTTACAGAGGTCTAACGGTCTAAAATTTCAATTTGCTATTTGTGGACGAATGTCACGAATACCCTAGTTTACTACTTGTTTTATTATGCATGTTTTGGATCTATGTTGGCGATATTTTGAGCATTACACATAATTTAGCAAAAGTGTGGTGCGCCGTCGATTCACAATCGTTTTCACGGGAATCGCATCAGAGAAAAATCACTATATTTCTGTTAATACTTCAAATATCACGTCAGAAATCTAAATACATAATAATAAAACAATTTAAAGATACATTTGAGAAAATTGTCGAAAAATATCGCGAATTATAGAATTAAATATATAGAGTTAAATTTTGGATTCCGCATGCTTTTGCTTTAACTTCAGAGTACCTCTCAATCAGCAGATACCGATAATTTTAGTAGAATGTTTTTAAAAATTAGAAATTTTGCCCAAAATTCATTGGAATATTAAAAATACATATTTCTGTGAAATTTCATAACTATATGACGTCTGTAAGAGCAAATAATAGCAGAGTCTGCGTAATTTTTGAACGGCCCTCGTACATGTAAAGGGTAGTTCAAATTCCTTTTGGATCTGTGGAATATGAAAAATATTTAAGACTGGCATTTGATTTTGAAGAATTTCTTCTTTAGAAAGGAAAGTATGAGTATAAGTAGGGTCACCACTTGTAGAATTAAATCCAAGTTCTTCTAAAATAAAATTTATAAAATGAGCCTTACAAACGAAGACAATGTTGTTACCTGCTTTGTCGGCAGGTACCAGTACGTACTGATCATGTAATCTATCTAATTCTTTTTTTCACTTCTGAATTATTGAACACAGAAGGATAGATTGTTTTCATCTTGCCCCTCAATCTTTTAATACGCGCTTTTAACATTGATTTAATACATTTAATCCATTCCGACAAGGTGTCAACGTCTTCTTTGTCATATCTGGCCCATCATATTATATTAAACATTGGTCCCAAATTTAGCATGCTTTAAAGTGTGACATTTTTGACGAAGCAATGCATGTTTGTTCAAGATCAATCGGTTGAATACGCCTTTCAATAAGTATCCAAACCACAAAAACAACATACTCTATTGGTATCGTATATATCTGGATCCTCTGGACCTTCAGGATAATGGATATCTGTAGGTCTGCCATCCGAAATTAGAATGATATTTGGTCTGATGTTCCACTTCCCAACTTTGGTAAAGCCATCTAAAACACACAGTTTGAAAACAGTGTTTTCTTTGAAGGTATTATTTCATCATAGTATTCAATGTAATATATGGTATTAATTTATAGCTAACAAAAAAAAGTTTACTTCGTGCACCGCATGAAAGTAAAAGACCTGCTCCAAAGGGTGATGGCCCATCGCAAGTTAGTTGATCTAGAAAAAATTATATTTTTTTAATTGTCCACTAAATAATAGACACATGTAAAAGGATTGAAATATCAATAACTGTAAAAAAAATTTCAAAAATATTTTCTCACCAATTGATTGCTTGATCTCGTAGTAGCGATTGGAATAATAGCATTGAAATCTATTTTCTTTTCCGAATGTGATAACAGCAACATGTTGATCCAATGCAGAAAATCTTTGAAATTCTACAACAATTATTATTATATTTGAGCAAAATAGTTTTATATGCACTATCCATATAAAGGCATATCAAAAGTGAATTATACGAGGATCATCCAATAAGTAATGCAACATACTAAATGTTGAGGCATTTAATTTTATTTTTACACAGTTGAAAAGTTTCACTAAAGAGGTTCTAACGAAAAAAAAGGCAATGAATTTTCGTATTGTCCTCGCAAAGAAATTCACTGCACTGAGCGGAAAACTGTTTATGAATGATTTCTGCCAAGAAAATGAAAATAACAGCCTATGTGCTTTCTACATAATTCGCCGAAGAATTCATATTTATAAGATATGTTTTTTTAAATAGAAAAAAGTTATCTTTTATAACATGTTTAAAGTTGTATACTTTTCAGATGGACACTATAACTTAGAAGAAAAAAGGAGAGTTTAAATATTACAATCAGTCTGGCCGATTGAAATTTAGGGGAACACCAAAAATATCGATGCTATGTGCCACATTATATCTGAAAATACTAAATGTACATGGAGAGACATCGTTAAGATTCTAAATATTAAATCATAACAGCATTTTGTAGAATTTGGACAAAGAATAAAAAATAACAATATTTCTCTCAGATAGGTGCCCTATTTTCTTACAAATGCTTAAGAGAAAACATGCGGTAAATGTGGCAACTGTCTTTTTAAAAAAAAATAATAAAAGATTTGATAAAATTGCTTGATTAATGACAAAACATAGGTGAACTTTTCATATCCGAAAAATTAGATTAATAATAATGTGGAATCAAAGAAAGGATATCATTTTATTATGATAACGAGAAGCAAGTGCTCCAAACATGCTCTAAAGATGAGTATGTTGAGGTTTTCTGTGCATGGATACAAAGACATAATCATGTGTAAAAGGTAACAGGGAATGTCTGGTAGGATTTAAACTACCAAGAGTATGTGTTATTTACTTTTGTCATATTTTTAGATGAAATATTGCATTATTTATTGAACGACCCTTGTACATGTAACACTTAAAATAAACCGCTCAAAGTATGCAATTATTCCCTTGCCTCAATGCCAGTCCTCTTAAATTGTAGAAATTATATATACTTCGACAAATGTCAGAGATAACAAGCTACAGTTAAGATTCAAAATGGGTTGGGCCTAAGCCTTATTTTAAAAAAAAACATTTACTTTGACGCAAGACAAAAATAACAATGCTTTAGTTTTCTTCAAAGAAAATAATTTGCTCACATGAGCTTTCTGGGAGCTTTAAACTAAACCTTGCTAGTTACAGTGTAGTACAAGCAATTTATTTGGTTGTTCATTAAATTCCAGATAACAAGTTATAACAGTTTGCTGATCGCTTCTTTTCTTAATATGACGTTATATCGTAAACTTTAATTAAATAAAATATTTATTTGCAGATATGTAAGAGGCCATAGACTTAAATGCCAAGTCTGCTTTATAAATTTACTCGTATATTTACCGTCCATTCCCTGTCAAGTTATACTGTCTTATACATGTTATATTTGTGTGCAGATTCATGGTATTGGTTAATAGAAGGGTTTTAAATCGATTTAGTCATGTTATTTTAAGAGATGATTCTAGATGAATCATGAAACAAATGCATACGCTTCGAAGCCCCTCCACTTACACACACACTTTAAATTAGCTCCCCCTCCCCTCCACTTTCAATTTGCTTCGACGCCTATGAAATATAGTATTTAGATATTTGAAAAGTGCTGCAAAGTTAAATGTAAAGAAATCTCGCAAATTAATATTTCTATATTAAATACAGTTGACCTGCAAAATATTTTTAAAAGGCCAACACATTAAAAAATGACTTCTTATGTGCTGTTACTTCGCATTTGAACAGGAATATTAATTCAATTTTTGGCTATAATTTAAAATGCAAATTTTGATTACCATCTAAAATATCATTAACAGTGCCTTTCAACTGCTTAATACCATCACCCTCCATGCTGGCAGATGTATCCAGAATAAATATAGTGTCAAATCCACCTCCAGGTTGATGTTCTAAAGCTTCGTCTAATAAAATATAAAATTTGAGAATTTTTAATCCATTATGAAGATATATCATATCATAGTTTTTAAGGTAACAAAAGAAAAAAAATCAAATTTTGAATTTTTACAATTTTATTACAATTTTATCTCTGTTGATCATGATTTTCTAGATATTTGTGAATTTGTAGAAAAAAAAATCTGCTAAATAATAGAGAGGTTTAAAAGTTAAAATCATATGATAGTCATAGAATTAATGATAAATCTCTGAAAAGGCTATTCTTCTTCCGGTCTGAATTTAAATATCAAAAGTTCAAAAGAGTTGCATTTTGAAAGAATTGTACAGATTTTTTTACTTAAAGTTACTGAGGATTCAATTATTGTAAAGATACCGACAAACAGAAATTTTTATTTTGGTGTATGGGATTATTTTTATCTTTATCAACAATGCATGTGCATATGTATTTTCTTCAATTCGGTCTTTTGCCATTACCCATTAACAAAAAAATATGTAAATCATATGTTGATTTCATAAATCCCAGTGGATCCTGATTAAAAGACTGCAGTTTATCAAAATTGTGACATTTTTTTTTTATTTTTACTGACCAGAAACGCTTATGACAACTAGCAATAAAATTAATAGAATATTTGATGACTTCAACTTTCCCATCATTCTTTCCCCATATCAACTGCACAATACGTTATTTTCTATTAACTCATCTGGAAATCAATGGCATGTTCTTCGTCGGATAAAATTTTGAAATTACCTATAAACAGGCTACTGATAAAAAAGTTAATGTTATATGCTTGGCTTTCAGCCATTTTCATTCAAAGTCAGCATTTCCATTTTTTTCTCGATGAAATGGCTTTTTGCAAGGTTGTTAGATTGTAATATAACTGATGTATTCATTCCAGTTTTAAGTCTTGAGAAGCTTTTAAACTTATCATCTGCTAATCATTACATTTACCTGCTCAAAATAGAGACCTCACGATGTTTTTGACCAGTCGACTGGTAATATTTATTTATCAACCTTTTCACTTCTAGTGTTTACGGTCAGTTAGAGTATTTGTCTCCTTTTCTATTTTCAAAAGGAGTTTCCAAACGGACTTATAGGCTAGGCTTCAGTTCGTTTTCTTTCTCTTTTAGTTTATATCAATTCTTTTGAATTCAAATGAAAATTGCAGTGAAGAATAATATTTTAAATTAAAGAAATGCTTAAAACAACTACTATTAATCCACTGGAGATCAAAATGTTAAACAATCTGTTAGTTTTCCTGGCCTCTATCCAATACAACAAAGATATTCAAATCGCAGATATACATGGCATTGCAACCTTTTTGGCCTCTGGCCAGCATATTTAGCAAAATTCAAAATAAGGATTTATAAAGCAAAATCATTGTGAAAATTGTTACGTTTCCTTCCAGCTAATTTTGACTCTTCTACCCAATGGTCTTTGTCAACGCGTCTTGTCTTGGCCAACATCATTATCTTATCTGAAATAATTCATATCTGGTTTTAAAAGAATTTTGATTTTGCTGCATAAAGAAAAGTTGCTAGTATTAAATCTTGAACAAGAAAAAGGAAACGTCGGTAAAAATAATATGCATTTTATCATGTTTATATGCTAACAAAATAAATACATTTCATATAAAAAATCTTGTACTTCATTTATGAGCACGATTTTTGGTTTGATTGAGTTAGTTACATGTATTTAATTATAATACATATACATGTACCTTCTAAACTAGGATACTCTGTTTTCATTTCAAAAATTTGCAAATCCTTAGTCTTCGTGTCTAACGTTTGTTCAATATTTTTCGATTCCTCTGTCATAACAACAAGCCTGTTGTCGAAGTCACGCTGAGTTCGCCTCCTTTTCAGTTTTCCTCTACTCTCCGCTGTGGTTAGAATATCCTCCATTGCTCTTAAACATAGGAATGAAGTACTACTTTCTTGGTTTTGTGGTTTGGATTCCTTGCTGTTGTTGTCCAAAGAACTCTTTACTATTTCAGACATAGATTTTTCCGGTTCAAGAACGAGAGCAGTACGATCAGCATGACTGCTTAATATAGAGTTTCCAACTGGTTCGGAATTAGAGCCTACCTCTGGGGAATATTCAGATTTCGTTTCTTCAACAGAATTATGCTCATCGTCAATGCTTCCACTGACGTCAGGATCAACGGTCTTTTCTTCACATATATTCAATTCCTCATCGGTTCTATCTTTTGTTACTTCTCCAAAAGAATTGATCGACGACTCATCTCTACTTTCAGATAATGTTCTTGGTTGTTCGTCGGGTATTTCTTCACTAAAACCATCAGATTGATTTACATCAACTTCAGTCTTTCTCTGTACATCATTCATATCTTCCTCTTGATCACCATTTTCAGTGGTATGTCGATGAAAATCGGAATTCTCTGAAGCTTCCATTGTAGTGACATCTCTTAGTTGACCAATAGACTGATTCAGTTTGGAGATGTTTTCGTTTGTTGTCAGAATTGCTATGATTAACTCCGAAATCTCTTTGTTTTGTCGGAAATCTGTTTCAGACAGTTCTACTACCTGAGCTAAGAGCTTGTCTAAGGAAATAATAGACAGTTTGTTTTTTACAATTTATAATTAATTTATTTATTTATTCATTTTTGGTGTTCATTTCTTTCCTTATGATCTTGAATGTGAGGCAATGTGATATGACGACAAGAAAGCAATCAACCTCAACATCTAATTTATTTAAACAATTCAAATTTAGAAAGGAGCATATACACGGGCCCCCGCAAACATCACAGTGGCATTTTTGTCATAGATGTAGGAGTGGACCTATATCTTAGAAATCTTACCTAATTTATTATCATCGGTCTCAGATGTTTTCCTGTAAAATAAAAACAGATATTGAAGCAGTTCTTCATTAACTTAATACCCTTTTGATTACAAATACAAACATATATAGCAAAGTGAACGATGTTAAAGTTACATGTAGTGATAACTACAAATAAATTTGTAATAGAGAATCATGTATCTTTTGGCATTTAAGTTAACTAAAAAAGTGTCTATAATGAGTACAATTGACAATCAACAACAGTAAGCTCCATGAACATTATTTCTTTTATCTAATCCAGACATGTGCATTAGTTTATCCTACACAGCCTCTAAAGAATTTAATCTCTTAGTGATGAAAAGATTTTCATCGTACTATATCCATTTTCTCATTCACGTTCTTCAACTGAAAATGCATAGTTCTGGATAATGATTTTTTTCTAACAATTGTGCCAATACGTTTACTAGAATACTATATAAATTTAACGAATTCCTTATATGTATATAACGAATTACGGATATAAATTTTATAGATCCCAGTGTGTTCGTTATAACCAAGTTTTACTGTACTTTCCAAAATCGTTTTGATGCATTTATTGCACTCATCTCTATTAATCAAGAATTTCTCTCTCTAAACTTAAAAATGAATCGTGCAATTGCCCTAGCTTTCAGCAGAAGTAATGTGATCAAGACAGCCATTAACTCTCTCTCTGGGGGGAATAAAGAAACAATTTCATCGTACCTGCTCAATGACTGCCTCCATATCTGGAAAATCTTCTGACCTTCCTTTCACCAAAAAAGAAATAAGTTCTCGAGAGAATTTCTGTTTCATAAAATAGTATCAACATTTGAAGTCAAAACATGTTAATTAAGTAGCCAAGTTCCCATCATTACCAGAAAGAATATATGTAAAAGTATGTAAATATAGCTTCATTTTCGATTTTTATTTGATTATTTTAGTTGTTTTAATCTATATATATATACATTGAAAATTTCTAATTAATCCAGAGAATGTGAATTTTTTTGCTTCCATTTACAAGTCTAAATAGTAATAAAAGTTACCAGTTGTGACTTATTTCAAATATATAGTTTAACTAGTCATAGGTATATAGGAACAATGTACAGTGCATTTGTTATTTTGATGATATTTTTTGCACATGATTTTTTTCACATTTGTAAACCAGATGCATGATAAACATATATGTTATATGCTAAAATTCTTATAAACACATTTGATTATTTGTATAATGGATTATGTACACATCACAGTTGATTTAAAATCCATCAAAGAAGTTGAATCCTTATTGGGGAACAAATTCATGTACATGTAATTGAGTTAATTGATTATTTAAAATATTTTGGCCTCAAAGAGCATGAATACACATATATAACAAGTGCATTAGCTCCACATAGTTAGACACATGTTGTATCATGTCTTAACAATATAATGTTGATAATTTGATATATTATTATACATTTGTAAATTGCTAGTTAATATGGTTAAAGTGAAAGTTTATCAATGGAAGTACAACATTATTAATGTATTTTTTTTATTTTTGACACACATTAAACAAAACACACGAGTGGTTTAACAAGATATTAGACTAATAAAAAGTAGGTGTGATTTAGTGTTAAGACACAGATATTTTTATGTATATTATATTGCAGCCAGAGCAGCTCAAAATCGTGTTCGTTGGAGTCAGTCAGTGATGTCCATTATTTTTCCTGCTGATAATTTCAATCTAAATAAGTAAGTAACAAAGTTTAATTTCTTCCTACAGTTATTTAGGATGAAAATATTTTCCGTTTGTTAGCATTTTAAAATTTCCTTATCAACTGAAAATGCATAGTTCTGTATGATGTTTTTTCACAATTCGGCTACTGGTTCTAGAATACTATATCAATTTGTCCTTATATGGATATAAGAGGATGTACGGATATAGGAAGTAATTTTATGAAAACCAGTGTGTTCGTTATAAGATTCAATTTTAAAATCGTTTTGAGGTGCATTTATTGCACTCATCTGCAATACTAATATATTCTCTCTCTCTCTCTCTCTCTCTCTCTAAATTTCTAATGAATCGTGCAATTGTCCTAGCTTTCTTAAAGTAATGTGATCAAGTATTGCTCTCTCTCTCTCTCTCTCTGGGGAATAAAAAAAAACATACATGTTCAAGTTTCCTTCTTCAAAGTGGCGACCATAAGGAAAAGTATGACCCAACTTCCTTTCACCAAAAGAAATAAGTTCTAATTTTTTTCATGAGTAATGTCCATATGAAGTCAAAACCAATTATTGAAAATTTGTTAAATTGTGGTACATGCGAAAGAATATATGTAAAAGTATGTAAATATAGCTTCATTTTTTATTTTTATTTCAATTATTTTAGTTGTTGTTATCTATATATATTTATTTTGAAAATGGGAAAAACAAAGAAGAAATGTTTTACTTCACATTTACCATAAATGAAAATTTTAAATTGTGACTTAACGAGGCCGAGTCTAATTCGAGTGCGCATCACTTTGCGCAGCTTTCTAATTTCATGCAGTCATTTGTGTGACAGTACACCTTTGAAAATTAATTTAATTCTAATACAAAATTAACATTATTTGTTACTCCTACTGATCTGAAAATGTGATTTTACGACAATAATTGGAAAAAAAACGTTGAAATGGCTCTAACAACGTAACCATTTTCGGATTTTGTAAGCAATGCATGACGCTGAAGAATGACGCTTGACTCGCTTATATGTTCAAGACGTCCATGGATATTACGATAACAAGAGGCCCATGGGCCAATCATATGACAAAACTTATGTCAAAGAAAGGGTTTCAATATCCCACTCTTGCTATACCAATCATGCCCAACAACCCCTTACATTTTTTATTTAAAAACTTGAAATGATAAACTACCCAAAGATGCTTACAAAGTAAAAATTTATTGTTTTTTTCTGTGTTTGAGAAGAAGATTTTTAAAGATTTGTTCTATATATTTCTATGTAAAACTTGGACTTTTATAAATAAAACCAACTTGACCATATAAAATTTAATATCTACACTTTTAAGGTGCTTCCACATAAGTTTCAGCTTTTCTGGCCCAGTGGTTCTTGAGAAAAATTTTTAAAGATTTGTTCTATATATTTCTATGTAAAACTTGGATTCCCTATTGTAGCTCCGCCTACCCCGGGGGTCATGATTTTAACAATTTAATATCTACATTACCCAAGGATGCTTCCACATAAGTTTCAGCTTTCCTGGCCCAGTGGTTCTTGAGAAGAAGATTATTAAAGATTTGTTCTATATATTTCTATGTAAAACTATATTAGTATTGCACAGACTACCCCCGGGGTTCTTGATTTTAACAATTTAATATCTACACTACCCCAAGATGCTTCCATATAAGTTTCAGCTTTTGAGGCCCAGTTGTTCTTGAGAAGAAGATTTTTAAAGATTTGTTCTATATATTTCTATGTAAAACTTGGATTTCCTATTGTGGCCCCGCCCTACCCCAGGGGGTCATGATTTTAACAATTTAATATTTACACTACCCAAGGATGCTTCCACATAAGTTTCAGCTTTCCTGGCCCAGTGGTTCTTGAGAAGAAGATTTTTAAAGATTTGTTCTATATATTTCTATGTAAAAATTGGATTTTTGTAGCCCCGCCCTACCCCCGGGGGTCATGATTTGAACAATTTAATAGATACACTACCCAGGGATGCTTCCACATAATTTTTAGCTTTCCTGGCCCAGTGGTTCTATGAGAAGAAGATTTTTTTGACCCCACCCTATTTTTGTCTTTTCTTGATTATCTCCCCTTGTAAGGGGACTTGGCCCTTCATTTTAACAATTTAAACTCCCCTTCACCCAAGGATGCTTTGTACCAAGTTTGGTTAAAATTGGCCCATTGGTTCTTGAGAAGAAGTCGAAAATGTGATTTACAGACGGACGGACAGACGTACAGACGGACGGATTGCTTTAATTTATACGGACGGACGACGGACAAAAAACACAAAAGCTCACTTGAGCCTTCGGCTCAGGTGAGCTAACAACTTTGACATATCTTGAAGCAAAACTAGTTTCTAAAAATTGCTAAATTTGCCGAAAAAAAGTATGCGCCGATAATTCATCTGCAAAGATATGTATTTATACCGTAATATGCCAATTTTAGAGGTATTTGGATTCGAAAAAATAAACTTAATTACTATCTAGACCAATTGAGATGGTGAACTTTTTTGAAACTTCACTGTTTGGTGACTTTTTACTTTAACTTTCATTTACTTGAATGAAAAAGAAATCCCTAGGGCAAAAGTACAAAAAATATGAAAAAATGTAATGATTTGGCGATTTTCCAACAAATTCCCATAGGGTCCAATGGTAAAGTTTGACAAAACTTGAGATGGCCCCCTAAGAAATTGGGGTGGTAAACATTCGATTTTTTAATCCTAAAACAATAAATATAACAGTAAAAATTAATTATCAAAAAATTATCAAAATCCCTAGGTCAGAAATAATTAGACTCGGCCTCGTTAATTCAAATGTATAGTTTAACTAGTCTATGTATATAGTATATGCATGCATTTGTAATTTTGATATTTTTTTCTACATGATTTTTTGTTGTAATTTTTAAATTAGAAGATAGATATATGCTATAATCTTATAAACATATTTGTTTATTTGTATAATGGATTATATAGTATAATTTACATATGTAGGATTTAAAATCCGTACATGAGCATCCGAATCCCTTACTGAACAAATTCATGTACATGTAATTGACATACAATGAAGCGCACTGAAGTGGTAAAATTTTCCGTTCGAATGGAACGTTTTGAGCTATCTTTAGAACGTTTATTGTCATCTTATGACACGCCTATTTCTTTAGAAATGGATAAAACGGTCAGTTTGTTTATTCGAATACCTGTAGAACAGGTTTTCCATAAATATAATAACCAATCAAATTGTCGGTCTAAATAAACACCGAGTAAACGCGTGTTCGACCGAAACATGTGTTGTGGTCACTTCAATAGACATGATAAGTTCAAAAATATGTTCATATTGCAGCAATTTGAGTTTTACAGAAGCGGGGAGTCTCTAATTCTTTCTTCTAATTTTTTAAAGCTCCATTTAAGTGTGGATCATGTTGTTTGTCGCGAAGATTGGGGTGTCCCTAAACATCACTACGAATATTTCTTTCTCGTTTCAAAAAATATGGGCGTGTCATTGTTATAATTGACGTTCAAAAGCTGACTAAGAACATTTCATACAAACAGAAAATTTTACCACTTCAATGCGCTTCATTGTAATATGAATACACATATATAACAAGTGCATAAGCTCCACATAGAACTTTAGATACATGTAGTATCATTTCTTAACAATAAAATGTTGATAATTTGATATATAATTATATTTGTAAAATTGCTAGTTAAATTGAAAGTATAGATTAAACGAAGTAAACATTATTAAAGTATATTTTTTTTTAAATTAAACAGAACTATGAGTGGTTTAACAAGATATTAAACTAATTAAAAGTAAAGGTGATTTAGTGTTAAGCAGAAATATTTTTTATGTATATTATATTTTACGAACCTTGCTGTGTTCCGTCAGTCTCAGAGTCCATCATTATTCCTGCTGATAATTTTCAATCTAAATTATAGACGTTAATTTCCCCTACAGTTATTTAAGGAAATCTGCCTTCCGTTTGTTGAGCATTTTAAAATTTCCTTATCACAAAGTTTCCCTTCCTAATTTTCACTTCGGCTACTGGTTCTAGAGCAGGATTTATCCCCAGAATAGAGGCTGTAGAGTAGGACTTCACTCTTGAAAATCATGCATAAGATTTAAATTTATGAAGGAGGGGGGAGGTTGATTTACTCTGTGCAATACTAATATATACCAAATTAAATAATTATATAACTGCGATTTCCCCCGGAACCCACCCCCAATATAATTTCTTGACTATGTACACCAGTTTACCCTGAGGACCAGTTGACGCCTATTGATTTCTTTCTGTAATAATTTTTCACTCATAGTGGGCACTTGTTTCTGTCATATATTTTTATTTTCTTTCTTCCATTTCTTTTATAAATTGTGAAATATTTGTCTTTCTAATTAAAACCATGGGGAAGGGGGTTGTACATTGTTCATGTGTATACATTTCTCAACTTTTGTTTCTGTTCATTGCCTCTTGCACTTGATCTTTCTCTAATAATAATTTGATGAATCAGCCAGCTGACATAAATATAATTATGATTGCTTTATTTTATACCTGTCTTTTAAAAAATACACAGCAGAAAATTTTTCTTTCTCCTTTTATTCTTAACAATTATATTAAGCCTCAACTGTTTCTTTCTACACATATATTCGTTATACATGTATATGAGTCTCTGCTGTGCGTATAAAATACATGAAGCACTTCTTCAATAAGTAATACATGTGTACATATAGCAATAAACATTAAAGCTGAATGTATAAATTAAATGTGGTGCCTTTTTAGATATGTGCTATCTTAGTACTGAGTATACACATATGACTACCCCCATGCATACAGCATGTTGTAATGTAGTATTACAATGACAGAATCTTGACCTTGATACGTGACACTTAAGCTTAAATAAACAGTGTTTGTTTGCAGTTGTCTACCAAATCCCAATTAAAAAAAAATAATATCAAAATATTTTTTTTCAATTTGAAAATTTTGTTTACAATAAAAAAAGGCAAAACACATTAAATAAAAATAAGGAAAAAATTTCAATAATTCACAATTCAGGTAAAATCTGAAAAAATCCATGAATGGAGGAAGAAAGATATTTACTTATTCTAAAAATTGTGGGTTGGCAAATGCAAATGAATTTATTAATATGCAATTTTAAAAAATCTTCAAAAACAAGACAAATGAAAGAGAGAGAAGTGACAATTTTCAAAATGCTAATGCAAAATTTAAGTATAAATCTTCTAAAATGAATTCCACAGTTTTGCGTTTATGCATAAAATTATCACGCAAGCCAATCAATTGATCATCTTCATGAAATTGAGTTATACATTTAGAGTTAAAATTTTAATGTAGTTACATGGCAGTGTTCAAAAGTAATATTCCTTTAACAATTTTCATTTACGATTATGAACACAGATTGAAGGTGGTTAATTGATAAATTGTAGTCAAAAAAATTAATTTTCTGCAGAAATCTATTGATTAAAAAAAAACATGTGACTCTACTTAAAAAACACCTAAACACTCTTGAAATTTTTATGGCATTTTTATACATGTCAGAAAATGAATAACAGTTTCTGTTACCATACACCTGTAGCAATAATTTACATGTACTCGTTCATAAGTACTACCACCAAAACAAAACAAAAAATAATATCATAGAATAAACAAGAATATAAATAAAATTTTAAATAAAATAAACAATCCTTCTATAATTTATAATTGAATGATTATATACAAATGCATGAATTGTTCAGACTCAAGAGATTTTTCTGTTCCCTTTCAAATATATATACAGAAATATATAAACAAGGTAAAAGTTAATCTTCCAAACTAGAAGATATTACCCATTAACAACAGGTTAAAAAATACTGTAAACCAACTTTTATTTGCGCGTGAGAAATTTTCCCGAAATTCGCAAAAGCCTCGTCATCGCAAATATTTCTTGCCGTGAACCAGTCCTTACAGTCTCTTTGTCTATTAACAACAGATCAAAAATGGTTTGTTCGCGTAAATTAATCGTTGCCAACAAGTCTAACCCCGGTTAATTGCGAAATAAAGTCGTCGCAAATAAATGTTGGTTTATAGTAAACCAGAAGTCTCTGTCGAGACTGAAGCTCTACTGGTTTGAACTTATAGCAAAGGAAGAGAAAAGTAGTTAAGCAGCTGGGATTTGAAACTAAATAGAATAATCATCGTTGATGAAGTGTCTTTATGTTCTTTGTGTAGTCTACTTGTGTGCCAAGTTATACTGAAATCAGACCAAAACTGTAGGAGGAGTAGCATTTTGAAACAATTTTACAGACATTTATATTTTTTTAGTAACCACAGCAACACCTTTCATCAAAATTAAAATTCGATAAACAGAATTATGTATCTTAGTGTATTCTACTTATGTGCCAAGTTATATTGAAATCAGACCAAAACTGTAGGAGGAGTAACATTTTGAAACAATTTTACAGATATTTCTATTTTTAGTAACCACGGCAACACCGTTCATCGAAATCAAAAACCGATAAAGAGAATTATGTATCTTAGTGTATTCTACTTGTGTGCCAAGTTATAATGAAATCAGACTAAAACTAGGAGGAGTAGCATTTTGAAAGAATTTCACAGAAATTTCTATTTTTAGTAACCACGGCAACACCGTTCATCAAAATCAAAAACCGATATACAGAATTATGTATCTTAGTGTAGTCTACTTGTGTGCCAAGTTATACTGAAATCAGACCAAAACTGTAGGAGGAGTAGCGTTTTGAAAGAATTTCACAGAAATTTTTATTTTTAGTAACCACGGCAACACCGTTCATCGAAATCAAAAACCGATACACAGAATTATGTATCTTAGTGTAGTCTACTTGTGTGCCAAGTTATATTGAAATTAGACCAAAACTGTAGGAGGAGTAGCATTTTGAAAAATTGTTTACAGACAGACGGACAGACAGCTGGACAGACGGACGGACGCCGGACGCATTACTATCGCATAAGCTCTTCTGGTCTCTGACCAGTAGAGCTAATAAAATTAGAAATAAGGTCCACATAATTACCATGATTACTAGCTGCAATAATGTAGCCCTCTCCGATTTTTTTTTTTTTGATATTTTCTTGAGAGGCAAAAAAAAGGGGGGAGAGGGCTACATTATTGAAGCTACATTATTACATGTACCAGGTTTTTATCATCAAATTTTATTCATTTTAGATCTCAATGAAATAGAAATTATATATTTTTTTGCATTATATATAAATTATACTGATGTATATAATTTTTAAAAAATGAGCAAATTAAAAATGTGATATAAGCAAATAAATAAATAAAGCAATATTATACAACCTTCATGAGTGAATTAGAGAAATGCATGTAGCAATTCATTTAGTTTGTTGTAAATTGAAGTGTGCCTTCCATAAGAAATGCCCTATGTTATACATGTATTTCAATTACACAATCCAGCAAAAAATAATTGAACAATTTAATAATGAACACAGATTTTGGTGGTAAATTGATACATAAAGCATTAAAATTAAACCTCTGAAAAAAAGTAAATGAGAAACTTGCATGTAACTATGGTTAAGTACTTATAAATTTCTTGGAAGTAAAATAGAGATTTATTTTTTTTTCAATTAAATATACCAGTTACAAGTGTGACTGAAATGCAAGTAAATTCACCACAATTCATAATTCAGTTACTCATTATAGAAATATAAATGACAATTTTTAACGCTTGAAAAACATGTTGCATTTGAAAAAAAAAAAACATGAAAATTTATGGAAATAAGTACCCCAAAATCAAAGTGGTCCAACTTCCCCCCCCCCACCAACACATCAATCATATATATTTCACTGCAAATAAAAATAGATAAATCTATATCAAAACTAACAAGAAAAATCATATTGGGAAGCCGTCTGGCAGAATGACGACTGTTAATCCATGCTTTTTTATGTCATTTTCATAGCCAAATGAGACTCCCATGTCGATACACGGACCATAGGTTGACACCAGGTTTACGGTATCATTCATAATTTTCACCTCCGCAAAGCCGTTTCTTTCTCTTTTGGTCAAGCGGATCACCCTCAGTTTGAAGGGAACCAGATTACCTAAGGCACTGACAGGGGAGGGAAGCAGATCCAGCTCGTTAGGTTTTCTGTTTTGGTATTTCCATTTCAGAATGGCTCCATATTTTGCTGACATGTGTGAAGGCGTTTGGAAATAATGCTCCCAGAAGGTGGTGGTGTTGAAAGTGGTACCACAACGATCTGTGTAAATTCGTGGGACGTAATTCTTGAACTTTTTGTCCTCAGGTGGAATCGGTACCCCCAGGCCAAAAGAGTGGTACTTGTAGCTCATGTAGAACTTGGGAAGCAGTAGCATGACAAAATCCTGCAGCTCTTTCATCTTTTCGATCTTATCTATATCGTCCGGAGAAAGCATTGGAGCGCGGACACTGCCAAACAATTTGACGATATCATCTCGCAGAGTTTCCTGCACTGGTCGATCATAGGCCTTCATCCACCTTATAATCGCCTGAATGATATCCATTTCTGACTTGCAAACTATGGCACCAGAATCCAACACCAAACTCAGCTCACTAGTTTCCAATTCCACCAATTTTCCACTGTTGTTGAAATGCTCAAAATTATGGCTTATGTACGTAATGCACTTATCGTACAAGGCATCGACATCGTATTTCAAAGAAAATCTAAACCATGGAATGGCATTTTCACTACAGACTTCTGCAACCATGAAATCAACGCAGAGGGAGGCTAGATCTTTCACCAGATACTTATCAGCCAATAGCCCGAGTGGAATGACATTTTCCTCGTTCAGTTTTACCTTCCAGGTGTAGAGAAACTCCAGGAATTCTGGGAAAACTTCCTCACAATCACCCGTTTCCTCTAAATGAAGATCAGAAGTAGTACACCAGATCTGAAAAAGATATTAACTTTATTTAATTAATCGTAATGGCAATCTGAATTTACACTTTATCAAGTGTTTTCCATGAGCAATCAAATATCGTCATAGCATTTTCTGTGTCATTTATAACATCACTCTTCTGCATATTATTGTACATATTCGGAGGAAATATTACGATGTACTCTGAAAATTTATGATTAAAAAAAAAATAAAATACAGTATTCTTGAAATATTGAACTGCTGAACATCGTCATAACCAATGTACAGTGCCTCTGATCCAATACATCATTTTTCAACCTGGACAAGAATGCCCCAAGCCTCAAAGTCTGGTTTTGACTTTTACTTTGATGGAAACATAAAAACATTAATTTTAGAAAATAATAGCCACAAATCCAATAACTTAGAGAGTCAGGGGCATAACATGCAAAGAGATTATTGGAAAAATAACTTGTAAAGCTTATTTTACAAACACATTTTTTAATGGAGGACAGTAGCAAAGAGAGGTTACTTATAGTGACAAAGAAAATAACTCATTTGAAAACAGTATTGTTGACAATAACCTGTTTGCCTAATGTTCCTGACTGTTAGATAAGCGTGATTAATTAAGCATGGACCGTAAGATTTCCTAGGTTCTGCATTTTCACTTGTTTCATTAACATCATTTTGCATTAGATTCCATAGAAAATACACTGTCTCTAGCCCAATACTTTTATCCCCATACCTGATTTTGTTTGTGAAAAATCATTTTCAAACTAATTCTTGACTGGGGGTTATAATATACAGCATTCCTGACTCTCTCCATACATAATGCATGCAAGGCCTAAAAAAAGAAATAGGTTTCCACTTTCAAGCTTAGGGGTACATATGGATTATATATGCATTTTTTTTTCAAATTTTGTGAATCTCTTCAAACAAAATGTCAATGACAAAATTTTATAAGTATTCATGACAAAAGGACTGGTGCTTTATAGAATTTCTGTGTCAGACTTGAATATAATTAACATTCCAAATGTTTTTACTTTGATGAAAATAAAGAAAAGAAAATTTAGATCCTCACTGAAAAACATTTAAAGAAAATAGAAATATAGCAGGTCAGTGTTATATTTTAGGGTAACCATGGTAACAGGTTAGGTTGTTAAGTGGAAACATATTTTTTTTTCAAGACTCAAGGTTTGTTACCAGATTTGTGGGAAGTAAGAGACAAGTTCAAGACTGCATGTTGGAAAAAAGGAAAAATTTTCAACTACCATGTTAACACTCAAGACTTACAGATGAAAGCATAGTTTGAAAGACTTCACTGGTGCTTGCCAGAACAATGCGATGACCGAAATAGGTCGTGTCCCCAACTGTGATTCTAACGTCGCTGAATTCTTCGTTACAACAGAAAACCCCGTAATCTGGTGGTTGTGCTCCATTCATTGGCTTTCCAAACTTTTGCATCAGGCGTTGTCCGTATTTCAGAGAGGAAGATGAACCTTCCATCATGTCAAAACTCTGTTTCAATATAAAAATGTGTGTTTAGAAAATCATTTGATTCTATAAATGTTGAACACAACTGGAATAATTCCTTTTCGTCAATACTATAATTTTATACCAGGTCCAGTACATAACAATCTCTTGATTTAGCTATATAGCTTTAAATAGTTATACCTTTATTATTCATAATAGCTTTATTTAATAGCTGTTTATATGCAGTTTTTCAGAAAATAAACGGATACATTGTTTGTTAGAAATGAACAAAAAGTCTTTGCAAAAAAGTATAATGAATGTATTTGACTCTTCATATATGTACTATGGTCTATCAAAACAACAACAGACTTCAAAGATATAGTAGTGTGTATTATATGCGTACTTAATAAATAAGTGTTTTAAATTTAATGTAAATAAATTAAACTACCATAATAGATAAAAGTATAAAAAGCTTGATCCGCTCCTTTATATCCTTAGCCCTTTACCTGTACACCTGTATATAGATAATTAGTAACCTTAGGGCAGTTCAAAGGTTTTGGAGTGTTATTGATTCTTATTGGTAGTTTGGTTGTGAAGTTGGATTTCATTGGTTTTATTCTTATGGTCATTAGTTTTACCGCCAAAATATTCATTCTTTGTCTTATTGAGAAATGACCATGACTGTATTTTATGGACTCCATGACTTTGACCTTTGGAGACTGACAAATTCCATTTTCTGAGTTCATACATGTCATTTCAACTATAACCACCATATCATTGTGGTAGCCTTTTCCCACAGAATGGTGAGGAATTATTCGTTTCAATTAGTATTATTTTTTATGCATTTATATGGGAGAAAATATGTAATGATCCATATATTGACTTAAAAGAGTTATCTCCCTTAATTGAGAGTAAATGTACATATATATGTATATCATCTATAATATATTATTATGAATATATTGATTATGAGAGCTACATGTATAGATGATTAATATGATTGAATTGATGTGCTATTATATTGTTGTTTTATTATATTTCAGGGCTATAATAACATTGTATTGCAAAAGCTCACTGTGTCTAAATAAATAAGACCTGAACCCTGACAGAGGAGTGTTTGTTCTTCATTACAACCCCTTGTTACAAAGATAGTTCAAACATTGCAGCATTTGAATACTTTTCAGAACCCTCTCTGCACTCTACACAACGAGTTCTGATTCTATATGCTATTTTTTCTGCAGTTAGAGTGATCTGCCCTTAAATCTAAATTCTAAATTAAAATTACAGTATATTACTCAATTTGTTATCAATTTCATTATTCTTAACATTTTAAAAGGCAAAGATAAATTAATTGAACATATGTTTTGCATGTATTATCTTTATGGAAGTAAATAACACTAAACAGTGATTTCTATTTACTGCTAGCTACCATGTTGTGTTTGAACAGTTTTCCTGGGGGTAAAAGCCATAGACCAAATAGTTAAAATTAAATAGCTAAGCTCAAAATTAACACCTTCACACAATGTATTTTATCAATGTCCAAAAAACATTATGCAATGGTGTATAGAGGGTCCTTAATCAAACAAAGAATTTCTATTGTTAGAGTAACTCACTGTGCGTTGAGGCATAGATAAGTATGATTGCCTCTCATTGTACTGAATTATTATCAATCAATTATCTTGTTGACTATAACTGGTCTCCTTTATAAATTCATTGCAGAAGTAACTATCTTGAAAAACATGTTTCCCTGTAGCAGTTTAGTTCCAAAATCATCGACATTACAAACCAAAATGATTCCGTTACTTAAAAGATATTTTTTCAAATTATGTATGTATATTTATCAATGTAAAATATGGCCACAATCCGTGTTTTTTTTTATGAAAAATGCCAACAGTTGCCCGAGGGTCGCCGCTCAACCGATCTCTCCCTACCCGAATGTTAATTTTACTTGAGGAAAGGGTTTTTTTTAAATTTTTTAAAAACTTAAAGTGTGACTCAAATAACCTGTGTGTCCATTAAAAATTTGATATTTCTTCCCTCCGTGTTCAAAAACAATAGCCCGCCTGTTGTGGTGTTTTTGAACTTTAGATTAGATAAGTCGTTCAGCAAATACGAGTGTTGAGTTCGTGAGTTTGACATTTCAAATATGGTAAATAAGAATTTACACGAAAGAGAAAATGATATAAAAAATGCATAAATTTTATATATACCTGAACATAAGTTCAAAGAATTTAACATGTTTAAAAAGGAAAATAAACAAACGAGTATTATGCAAAATATTTATTCCGGAATTTAACATGTCGGTTTTCACTTTTAGGAACAGATCGACTTGACTTGATCAATAAAACGCTTTCAAATTCCGCGTTGGGTTGCTGAGCAAACTGTAAACATCAAGGTATGGAACTTCTCTTCCTAAATAATGTAAATTACAGTTGAAAAACACTAGAGTAGGGTTGTCCTTGTAATTAGAACTGTTATTTAAATAAAATGGCCACATAATTACTTTTTTTTCATTCATGGTAATTTAACATGGTTCTGGAAAGATCTTGTGATGATTATGCCAGGTCTGGTACAATCACTAGATTTAGCTACGTAGCTTGATTTACCTACTTAGCTTTATTTACCTACCTGAGGTAGCTTTATTTAGCTACCAAATTGGTTTATTTCTATTTAAAAGCATTTTTCTCAGGGTGTGCAGAATATATACATGTATCATTTTGATGCAGTGATCATTTTCAAATTTGAACTCATCTGAAAACAACTCATGAAAAAATCCCTCTTGGAAAAATGTCTTTTTCTGCGCAATTGCAATCAAAGTTCTGAAAGATTTGGGTCTATGTATGACAGTTAGAACAGTTACCCCTTGGATGAAATGACAAAGAAGTCCAGTTCCGGTTAACACGATAATAGGTCGGTAATTATTCAGTACAATGTGAAGTAATCATACTCAGTCATGTCTCACCGCACGGACAGCTAACCAAACAATGGAATTACATGTTTTGTTCTAAATTGTCCAAACGCAGCAATGTATAAACTATCTCTGCTTTGTATTGTTTTTTTAAGCCTCCCTAGCTAGTATAAATATCAATAGTCATTTAATTGCGACTTTTTGTCTCTTTTTAATAAAAAGAAAATTTTTGAAAACTTACCTTGAAATAGCTAAATAAAGCTACCTGAGGTAGGTAAATAAAGCTACGTAGGTAATTCTACCTACGTAGCTAAATCTAGTGATTGTACTGGACCTGTATGCAGGTGCATGAGAAGTACCAACCTTTTGTTTAGTATCTAGGCCAATATTGTAGTTTTAAATGATCAATATTTTGTAACTGTTTAAATGATTATGAGTTCTTACTTTTGTCTACAGCCAGTATAGGAATTTATTTCATAATAAGAAAAAAAACATATATTTTTCTTGTTTCATGAAGTGCACATTACAACCTATGTTGATTCTTTTAGATTGAAATGGATTTTATGGTTCATGGTTCGCCAACACCAAGAAATCATGAGCGAGCTATTCCAGGAAGTGCACGGAATCGACCTGGGAATGGAAGGCCGCCGAGTGCAAAACCAACAGTGAACAGGAATCCCATCACTGTAAGGGTTACTTAAGTGGTTAGGATTATCCCTATGACTCTGTGCCTGGGAATTTCCCCACTATTAATGATGTAATCCCCCCCCCATATTTTGAAATTGGATCCTCTTAAGTTCTGAATTAGGAGAGGACCCCAGATCTCCTACTTCTTCTTTCTTAAGTTCTGAATTAGGATAGGACCCAAGATCTCCTACTTCTTCTTTCCAAATGTTCCCTGAGACCTCGTGTTTTATTTCTTATGGACAACCTTGAAGAGTTTTCTTTCAATTTTCACTTCTACAAAGGTTTAGACTCTACTTTTATTTGGAAAGGATAAATCTGGGATCAACATGTGTACATGTTTATGTACTTTTGTCAACCTGATAAAATGTACAGCTTAATTTAAAGGGCTGTATCTGACAAAAGATAAATTCAGTTAATGATTTGTTTATGTTCAAAAGTTTCCACCTTGTCAAATAATAATAGACGTACAAAAATTTGAAAAAGATACATGAATAGAGGTGATTAAAGGTTGTTTGCTCCAACCGAGGAGGTACTGTTAAAGAATGTGAAAGATATCAATAAAATTAACTACATTGTAATGGCTAGATGGTAAATCTTTCTTTATATGTGGCAATTAATACTTACAAAAAAATGTAACTATCCATAATTTACCGGACATTGCAAAACCAAGTATTTTTCAAAGTCTTATTTTAAATTATTGTTATTTTTTTCAGGGAGAGGAGAAACCTATAAGTAAACCAGAAGATAAACCCCCCAGTAGACCAGACAGCAGGCCAGCAGGGTAGGGATCTCTAGATAAATGAAGAATTTTACATATTCTTTAAGGTTCATAAACCCTTTGCTAACTCATGAAAATTGTTGCTTTTAACTTCTATGATTTTCCAAAAGAAATTTATTTAAGAAATAAGGTATCATTTTTAAACATCTATCGGGATATAAATACGGGTCGGTCACGAGATTAAATTCCATAAAGCCCGAAGGGCTTTATGATGAATTTAATCTCGTACCGACCCGTATTTATAGCCCAATAGATGTTTTTAAATGATACCTTATTACTTATATTTACATTTGTGACTTGTTCATACTTTATATTTGTCTGATTGTGACTTTTAACGTGTGAAATGCATTATTTTTCAAACCCAACGGCATGTATGTAATCCATTGAACGCGCGTCGACCCTTTATGACGTCACTGAGAAATGACGTCGAACGTTTATCCATACGCACATCTATGACCTCTTGACCCCATACCTGTATTTATACAGTTATAGATACGAATTGCTTTCAGTAGTGTTATATAAAGGAAAACATTTGCAAATGTAAATATAAGTAAAATACAAACAACTATAGTATAGCTTGCAAAGCGAATTGGACAAAACTGATATCATAACTTGACAAATTTATAAATTAAGGAATATATTAGACTTTTATGTCATTAAGAGTTATCTCTCTAAGTCTTATCAGAGTATTAATGAATCTTAATTTAATTTTGTGCGAATTTCATTGTAGAACTTGAAAACAGTACAGTGACTGTATATTTTTAGTTCAACACGATAATGTCAAGATAAGCTTGTGCTTTACCCCTGGCAATCATGTTGGTATTGACATTTTTAGGAGCATGTCTATATGCCCTGATGTACATAATTTGGCAAATTATAAAGTTCATTATTTTTTGGAGTACTTATAACTCAAGAGATTAGGGAATCGCAAAAAATGCAGGAAGTCCAAATGACACAGGACTTTTGAAGTTAGATTATGTTGATACAATATCAAAATGGCTCTCACGTTACAATATCTAAAACACGAAATATTCAAGTCTAAATTTAATGTTCTTACCATTGAGTTCATTTTGAAGATTAGGGCCTAAACAATCCAGTTATGTTTGTGTCTCTTTCCCTGCTTGGTTTTTATCATTAGTTTCCAAACTTTCAGCACAAGGTCTCAAAACTAATTCTCTTTCATCATGTTTATAAAAACTAATTATAAGTATACCCAATTAGACTTATTAGTGGAATTAATCCTTTCTAAAAATACATTGTTTATCCTAAGATTTTATATGTCACACAGCTGACCCCTTAATTGATCTATTTAATTGACTGACTAAAGTGTCATTCTTTGATTTCACAGCCAGGAAGTCAAAGGGGCCATACATGTTTTTAGTTTTCTTAACACCTATGAATGTCCAGTGCAGTGCCATGAGTATGATCTTAAAATTTAGGATTAACAATTATTGTAAAATTCACAAATTTTGGGGGATTAAGGAGTACACAGCTTGGATATGCTTTACAAATAATCAATCGAGAATGTTTTGACATTTTTGAGGTGTGCTCCACAATCTTTCATTATCATAACTTTGTTTTTATTGTTTTGAAATTTCTTGTACATAGAGAAAAAAGAGTATGTTACTATGTACATGTTTTAAGGAAATGATATCAATATGGAGAAATAACATTGACATTTTTTTAAAGACGAAAATGACATTATTATTGATAGCAAACATGCTTATAATGAATTGCTTCTTATAGCAAAGTGATTTTCATTTTCCGTAGCTTTTAAACTCACTTTGAACCTAACATATAACAAATGAAATTTTTGATGAAACAAAATCTTCCATCATTGGCACTTCATTAATATTTACATTAATTAAATTTATTTAGTGTGTTTTACTGTATTGATAAATGTGAAATATTTTTTTTATGTTGACAGGGTACCTGCTTTGAATCTGAAGGCTTTCCAGCATGAAGAGTATACAGTGTCCAAACCAGTAGAAATGATAGACTATCCAGACACAGGGAGGTCTGGGATATCTACTATAAGGTGTGAGATTAACTAAGTAAACTATTCTTCAGTATATTCTTGTGTACCCTGGTAAATTAACAAAAACATTCAGAGGCTTATTGAATCAGGAGATGAAGCAAGGTAAAATGACAACTTGAAAGTTTCTAAAATTTGATACTGCCACTCACTTTTTATTTGAGAGAACTTTATTTTTGCCTAAATTACATGCTCACAAAAATTTCATTATTTTAGTAAATAAGTATTCCTAAAGATTACATAAAGCAGTTACCAGAATTTGTGAAAAATTTGTCTAGCTTTTAAAGAGTTAATGAATATCTCCTGAAAAGTAAGGTCTCAGGAAAATTAATTAATTTACAGGTCTCACAGTCTAAGAATCTTCACACATGTTCATTTGATTATATTTGCAAATCCACTGCTCTCTCCCACTATGAACCTGCAGGCTTTAACTGCGTTCATAGCACTATAGATGCAACTGCTTCTGCTATGAGTGCAATTGCTCTATCACACTCGTGTAGAACAATCTCTACTACACTTATATACCGTGTTGAGAAGTATATATATGAAATGTTTCATGAGAGGAATAAAAATAAGTTTTTAATATTATTCTTTGAAAAAAAAAGAAATTCAGAATATTTAAAATTGCTGATTCGTATCTTTAAAAATTTATTTAATTGTATAATAAAACTTTTTAAAAATTTAGAGAAGGCTATATTTTTATTTTTTCGTATCATGCATATTTGTACAAAGAACAATAACTCTTCACACTTGGGTAATGATATTCAGAAAGAGAAAATTTAACAAGTATATCTACTTCAAGAATGATTTCAGCTATTAAAAATAAATAGAAAAACTAAAAAAAAAAAAATCTTAGAAAGCATTCTGGAGTAATAATCATTATAAAAGCATTCTCATTTTTCATCATAGATTTAAATTATTGATTTTTGTCAGAGGGTTTCAATAACGTTGATCGATGACGTCACAACTGCATCAAAACAAAAATTAAGAGAATGTGATGACGGCGCTGCTTGTATCCAGATAACTGTGTTTGAGAGGGAAATACTTAATAAATTGTTTGTGATTTATTAGAGAAAAGGATCATTGATCAGGTGTAGTGATTTTAAAGCCGTATGTTTTTCATTACTAAAGAGTAAAGACAAGAAGCTGCGTCCTTATGTAAGTCAGGATTTCCTCTGATATTCTTGAAAAACTCAAAGAATGCAAATATAAGTAATAAACAACGATTATTCAGTGAACATGGCATTATGAATAGCAATAGCTCTGCTGGCATATTTTCCATGATGCGCTAGCGCGCATCATGGAATATGCCAGCAGAGCAATTGCTATTCATAACGCCATGTTCACTGAATAACGTACGTTGTTTATTTCTTAAATATTTACATTCAGTGTAATTTTCTTTATGAAATCCATTAGAAATCCATGACGTTCAAATTTCTATAACACATGGGAAACCTTGTCACCGCACGTTAGAATACACAGTAGGAACTATGTGAATTTTCAATACTCTAGAATATCAAAATGTAAATTATTTTGTCTGAATTTAATTCAAAAACTATAACCCTGTTCAATTAACGCAAAAATACAACAAATGTGGGTTTAAAAATAATTTGTCACTTTTTTCCTTGCAATGTTCGTTTGCGTTATTCAACTTTGCAACGTCACAAACATCAAAAACGGCTGTTACGTCTACAAAGCATACCAGTTTTGAAGGGCGCTAAATTCACATTAAAGATTACTGAAATAAACAATTATGAGGATGAAAAATTAGAGAATGTAAATATAAGCATTGAATTCATATTTTGGGATGTCTTCGGTCCTATAACACACCTGGCCGTGCCGACAAATTATCATACCGCGCTAACGCGGTATTCAATTTGTTGGCACGGCCAGGTGTATTATAGGACAGAAGACATCCCAAAATATGAATTCAATGCTTAAGAAGACAGATTTTAAATGGGAGAAATGTATAATTTTCTGATTTCAATTTACATGGATCATGCATCTACAAAACTTTGGGACAGAAACTGAAATTACTCTTGAATAATAGAAATTATAAATTATTTCATTTTGCTTACATCACTGGGTTGTTGATATGCAAAAATTAGTGTTTTATTTGTGGAAAATGAAATAACACTTCTAATGTTTAAAGTTGGGGTACCCCTTGTTCAACAGCCAGAAATAACATTGACAGACCCTCCAGCAGAACAGCACATAAGGTACAGTCAAAGCTTGTTATTTAGCAATAAAGTAGACTATAAACTAGACACAAATTCAAATGTTCAAAGATTTGAGAGATTGAGATAAAAAAAGAGGAATCGGGACTTGCTAGTTGCTTGGATGTATCCATGATGACAAGAAAATGTTTTTTTTGGATTTACATGTAATGTATGAGGAGAAATGAATGTTGCTTTTCATAAGAGCTTAAGATCAATAAGTGTTGAAAGATGAGGCAAAGCAAGCAAAGTCTAATGTCTTGACAAAAAGTAAAGCTTAATTTAATACAAGTAATTTATTTTTTCACTTGCGTTTTTCATCTACAGAGCAGCAAGAGTGTACGGCCTGATAGTGTTCCTGGTCTGTACTTTGGATACACTGATGACAACAAACAGAAAGCAAAAGTACACAAAGAAAAACAGGTAGATCAGGAGAGTTTAGTCAGCAGATGGTCTCATGTACTGTAGATCGCTAATATTTTTGTGACTGACATCTTATTTTTTCCGAGAGCCAGGTATTCTGTAATTATTTTCCAAAGTATGGCTTACTAATACAAATTTATGTGAGAATTAAATTTTTCCAGTGTAGACAGACTGGCGTAATTATTTGAAATAAGGTAAAATGTGATTTATAGTAATTGCATGTATATGAACAAAATTTTTTGGCAAATGAAAAGAGATGTACATTTTTTTTTACTGCTTGTGTCTTACATTAACACAAAGTCCTGGGTAGAATGATTTTTCTCTTTCAGAAAATATAACTATCTTTAGATAAATCAACTCAAGTTATACTGATCAAATAGAGGTGTGCAAACTACACCCATGTACATTAGCTTTAATGATTGTCGTGTGCTAGGTATTTAAACATCAAATTTATAAGCTTGAAAAAAGCACTAAATAAGAGTTATAGAGAGTTTATATTAACGTTGTAACTTTTGGTTGCCTTGAAAGAATAGTTACGTTTTTTTTCTTGGCATCTCAAGTCTTGTTAGTAGTAGTTGTGATCCGCAATCTGGATTATCTCCCTTAGATCACAATCAAAATAGTTTGGGATAAAATCCTTTACTAATCAGAAATACAAATCTACATTATATACGCAGCATTGTTAAGGCTTGAAAAAGGGGACGGGGCCTAATTTATACGGGAAAAGTTTACTGTGACGTCACACAAAAACATGACTTTTAATATGTATTTCTCATAATACGTGAAAATGAAATAATTTGCAATTTTTTACTGTATTAGCATAATAAACAACAAAATAATTTATCAATGCATTAAAAAATTTTGCTAGTTGAATCCCACGTAGCTGATTATAAAAATAGAACTGATCGCGATGAACTTGTAAACATGACGTCATATTGGTAAACATGACATATTTCATGTGCTGTGAGAGGCAGATTGAGGAATTAAAACAATGAAAAATGCGTCTTATTCTTAAACAGAATATTATTTACAGGTTTTAAATAGACGATTAATACCAAAGTATATCCTTTGCTTAGTGCGATTATTAATTTACTACCAAGAGAATGTATTTTGTTAATTATGTCGTGTTTTTATGTACAGGTTACATATATTTTACATCGAGATGCCTCATAAAATCGTGCTTTCGCAAGGGCATACACTACATAGATCTGAACCATTTTTTGAATATAGATAAAGGATATTTTCCTTAACTTGAAAAGTGCTGCTGCTTTCTTTAAATCGAGGGCGTGATTTTATAAGTACACAAAATATTTGGTAAAAGTCAAACATATTTCGACATTGGCCTATTTACTTTAAAATTTAACTATTAAAACGTGAATTCTATTCAAAGCAGCAGCACTTTTCAGATACTTCAAAGTATGCAGAAACAATTAATAGCTTGAATTTTTAATTTTAACTAAGGTACGCCCTTGCGATATTGAAATTTGTTAATGACCTACATTCAGTACACGAACTATGCATTTATCACATGACTGTCCATTGATGGGACTAAACTTCATACAGTACAGAGTGGGTTATACTTTGCTATTTCCATAAGTATTAAAGTTCTGTGATAATAAAATAGCTTAAGTAAAATATATTCAATTTTTAAAAAATCCCCCTTTTTTGCACGTCTATTTTCCGTTGATTTCTCATAGTAGGCCTTAACAGTGCTGCGTAGTTCATAATCATTAGTAATATGCTGTATGGTTTCTATTTATAGCCCACTGCCTGGGACAAGAACCCATGTCCAGATGACTTATCTCCTCCTTCAGAACGATATAAAGAAATGTACCAACAGTATACTGATGATATGAAGCAATCCTATAGAGCCAAGAACCATTCTGTCACAGAGGTTGTGTCAAATATTTATTGTTATTCATCACATAGTGAATACATATGGAGATATATGTTTTCTTGAATCATGCAGTTTGTCTTGAAGGTTTATCTCTAATGCAGTTGAACTTTGTGTTATCTCAAACACCAACATACTGGGTATCAAATACTGTAACAATGGATGTGTTGAAATGAGCTGGCATCCTCAGCACCATTTTCCTTTTTAACAAATACATAAATTATTTTTGATTAAAATAAAAAATCTGTTTCTTTTGAATTAATAAAATGAATAAACAGATTGATGTAAAATGAATTTAATTTTTGAAATTATAAAACTTAATTAAAATGAAATTTTAATTGGTAGGAGGATGTACACAAAGAAATTGCAGCTGTGAAAAAATCTCGTCCCAAAACTTATGGGGAGATTCGAGATGAGGTGGAAAAAGAGAGCGCCAGATACGAGGAACCGGAGGACATACTGGACAAAAACTGGGCCGCGAGAAAATCCTACGCCACTCAACAGATGATGAAAATCATGGATGCCGTAAGAAAGATTACTGTCTTTGATATTTTATAAAATATGAAATAGAAGTATTCTAATTAACTTTTTTTTACGTGTAAGAAACTTGTTATTATGTATTGAATTTTTTATATAACTTAGCTGTTTTGTGTATTATGGCATCAATATTTCTTCATGATGTCAAACATCCATGTGAATACAGTGTTGAGGGCTCAACATTAATGATGATTGTCTGCATCCAGTACTAGTTCATTTAATTTAATGGTTGGAAAATGTCAATCTTCAGACACACTTTGTTCGATAGGACAAATTACCTTTTGTAATATTTGTTGGCTACTTGTGCAAACAGTGCAATTGACAAGTGGATATAAATAGGTTAATGTTGAGACCTAGCTACTGTTACTTATGCTTTCCCAGATACAACCATATATCAACTCATAATTTCTACATACACTGCTTGAATAAGATCCTTTATTCATTGTCCAAATTTTATTTTTTTGCAGGAGGAATTAATAGAATTTAACAAACAGCAGAAATTAATTGAAACTGTGATGATAGACCAACTATCAAGGTAGTTATATCTTCATTCTTCATTAGAACATGATTAAACTTTACAAGCTACAATAAAAGTTTTAGTTTAAATAATGAAAACATTACAGGAAGAATAATAAGGGGGGGGGGGATTCCTTAAGTTTTCCACAGATAATGGACTATCCTTCATTTGAAATGTCAAGATATTTATTTTGCCTTTGAATTTCAATGAATAACACAGTGACTGCTGATGTAGCCATGAATCCTTTACCTAAATCTTATTTTGCTTACTATAAAGTGCATGAAATTCCTACTGCTTAGAATAATATATTTTTTCTTTGTTTAGGCCTGTTATTAGTGACCCAGAACAGAATATACGAACACCGGTCCCTAATGATACCAGGCGAGCAAGGGGAAGTAATCGATATCTTCACGACTCCAGGTACAAAAGATATTGATAAAATATTCAATTTATTTATTATGTAAATCAATGAAAATGGAAAAAAAGAAAACATGATTTCTACTTGTTTCAAATCGAAGCTGATTTCCATGGCATGTTTTAATTATTTATAAATTGATAATATAAGTATATTTTTTTCAAAATACCACAAGACCATAAATTTGATCTGGAGTAAAAATAGTAAATAGATATATTGCCACATCTAAAACCTGATAGTTTTATTATATTGATTTTTTCAGTTAAATCAGGCAGTAAGAAATGATTATGTCTTATTTAAATTAAGATCTTTTATTTAAATTCTTTAAATATCAAAGTCTATAAATTTTGATTTAGAGTCAGAACCAGTGCCACTGCCACAGAAAATTTATTGTCAAAACGGGTCCGCTTTGGTGCTAGAATTCTAACAAGGTAAGATTTTTAAGAAATCTTATCATTAGAATTAAGTCTCTGACCACTCAAAAAATGAAAAATTACTATCAAAGTGCACAATCATGTACAATATTAACAAATTATGTTTCATTGCAGTATGGATATATTTGTATATATTTTTCATGAAAAAAATCAAAAGATTAATTTATATTTTATTTTGATTGTAGAAATGGGCATGATGCTTTGAGAGAGTTAACTGGTTTTTATTTCCATGTAGACAACACACTCACAATATATGAATTTAGACAATTTGGTAAAAGGTAAACATTATATTTATTTGAATAAGTTTTAGAGTTAAATTTTATCAAAATTGTAAAATATTAAAATAAAAAAAATAATAAAAAGATCATAAAATTAAAAAATAAATCAAATACAGATTTAAAAAAAAATAATATATAAGTTTCCCCCTGATTCTGTACTTTTAGTGCTAAAGCATTGCCTTTAATAAAGAGAGGGAAATACAAGCACCTGACAGGAGGCAGAAAGAATGAGCCGTATACACTGTTTGATATATACTCGGTAAGTAATTAATTAATACAGAGGTAAATTAAAAATTTAGACTATCTAGTTCTTGTTGTTCACTAGTTAGATTGAAACAAAAAATTGAATTCAATTGGTATCTTTAAACTTTATAATTTATGATAATCTAGTTAAACATAACCGTAATTGGGGGAAAAAAAACTTATTGCTTAGTTTTTATGTGATTGTACATTGTGTAAATTTAGGGAGCCAACCTGATCATTTCCACAGAGGGCCAGCACTCTCTACCAGACACAATGAAGAAAGCTGACCATGTTTACTTCAGAGTCACAGATGTGGATGAGGCAGCAAAACAGGATCTCATGTATGTAAACAAACAGTTTTGAGTTGTGTTCACTCTCCAAATGGTGCTGTTTTCTGCACAGGATTGAGAATTTCTCCGTTCTCCAGCAGTGGTTGATATGCCACCTTTTGCTCCCTTATTCTAATCACATTTATTTAGAGCAATAGTTCTACAGCTAATATCAATCCCGATCAGAATTAAGATAAAGAAAAAACAACAGGAAAAAAATTGAGGCTGGGTTTAAAAAAATCAGGCTGGGCTGGGATGAGAATCTGTAAATTTATTTAATATAGTGACCATACATGTTAACTCTCCCGATTTAGGCGGGAGTCTACCGCTTTTTCACTCCATCTCCCGCCTACCGATTTAATTCAAAATTCTACCGCTTTTCTACAAAAGCTGAGTCTAAAGTATTTTTGGTTCGCTTGGGTATCCATTTTTGAAGCCATCTCATAAAATCTCGCTAGATATCGCGTGATTTGACTCGGAATCATACAAACGCTTTTTTGTACATAGATTTGAAGCACGGATTTGACAATGACAACAACATAAGACTACCAGTGATTACATTGGTTACGATAAATTAATCAACATCCCTGCCATGAAAAAGGAGATTCAGCTTTTAAGAATTAGATGAAAACATTTGACATCGTCATTAAAAGCTCAAAAGCTCACAACTTTATCAATAAAGTCAATAGAAATCACTCGATTGACCAAGCCATGTGGCACACCTCTACTTTCGTTTTCATTCATCGCGGGAAATCTGATTTATATAACGAAAGATACGAACTTGTTTTAGATCTAGATTAAACCATGCCATCATTTGTTTTGTTTAAAAATTGAATGAACATTCAGAATTATTGCTTCTAGGCTATTTCAGCAATGATCACTCTTCAAAAGGCTAAGTAAAGCAGCCAATCCAAGCAAAATGATGAGCATGAAAAATATTTGAATTTGTACAATTTATGTCAAACTTAAGGTGTTTCTGTCTTCTTATTGCTGTTGATACTTAAGATTAATTAGTGTAGGTACCTGATTTCATTTAAGGCTTAAATATAATATAGATGTATATTACATGAAAGATATCGATAATCCAAGCGTTAAACAACACGCGCGCAATGCTACCTCTTTTGTGGTCTGATTCTCCCTCTTTTTCATCACAATAGGTTAACATGTATGATAGTGACTATCTTAACTTCTGAAAAAACATTGTATCTTTACAGGGCTAATGATATGCCAACCACCTACAGACAAGGTGTACAGAAATCCATTGATTCAGACATTCAGAAAGTGGTGGCTGCTGTCCAAGGTCAGTATTGAAATATCAAATTTGTTTTCAAGTACATGTAGTTTCGCAGATTCCTAAATGTACGTGAAAAATCAATTATGGATATGTACTAGATTAAATACTTTAAACAATTTAAAAAACTAGAGGCCTTGGCAAAAAATGTCATTATTGGTGTTTGCTTGAGAAGATTGTACATGTATTTAAAGAATTTTTCAAAATCTCTGCAATGTAACACCCCCCCCCCATTTTTAACCCCTGTACAAGCACACTACTATATCCCCTCAAATTTTGTAATTTTAGTTTAATAATTATATTGTTTCAAATATATGCTCTTTTAGCTGAGGTTCGAGAGAAGATAAGTAAGAGAGGGATTAAGACCTACACAGGACTGGGGCGTTACTACAGGGAGAGAGACGAGAGGGGGGATGGAGTTATGTACAGGTTCCAGTTAGAGAAAGGACTGTTCACATTCCACATAGATCTCGACCCAGAGGTAAAGGGGATAGAAATTTTCAATTTTTGTTCTTTATTTATTTTTTCATTATCAATACATGTAAGCTTTGTTTTACAGTCATTTGGTTAGATTGTTAATGAAAAAAATATTTCTGACGAAAGTTGTTCTATGTAGAATGGTTCCACTTTGAATTCATTGATAAAAATTCTATATATTAGAGTTGAATCTTGAAAAAAATTGCTAATATATAAAATCTCTAAATGTTTTTTTTTTTTTTTTTTGAGTCACGATATAGTTGATAAGATTTTATTGTAGTTACTGGATGCCATTTTTGAAGCGTTAGATGTAGACGAGACAGGAGAATTAGACTACAGTCTGTACATGAGGGAGGTCCTAGGACAGATGAATGAGTATCGCAAGTCTAAAGTTCGAAAGGTAAAATTAATATTTAGGCCAGGACTCAAAGTGTAGAAATGTTAAGAAATTGAACAGATGCAAATTCAAAAACAATGATTGGTTTTAAAAAATTAAAATAAAAACATCCCCCCCCAAAAAAAAGACATCGAAGAATTAAGATTTGTATCATTAAATTCTTATGTTGAATGTGATGTCAGCAAGTTGAAAAAAAGCAGGAATATTTGAAACCATAATTTATTGAACCTGGAAAATTATTTATATTTCATAATATTTGGTAGAAATGCAATGGAGCTCACATAAACTGATCTGTAATTTGAATGAATTTGAGTTTAAAATCTTAAAATCTTTTCATTTCATTTACTAGGCTTTTAAGAAGTTAGATTCCAGTAAGAGTGGTCGAGTCACAGTAATGGACATCAGGAAATACTTTAACAGTAAATTCCGCCCTCCTCCACAAGCAGGTTTGTACATGGAGATTTTAATGATACACATTCAGCAATATACAATACCATATGCTAGATTTTGTTTTAAAAAGATATATCCCTCTGGCACTTGAAAGGGGCAGTTACTGTAAAATTAATCATTTATTTTATGGGTTAAATTGTTGAAGGATCGAGGAAGAATTGCTGGTTTATGTGGATTTTATTTTCTTGATAAAGAAAAAAAAACATATTATATGATAGGATAGGACTCAAACATTTTGTGGTGCACATGAATTTATGCGTGTCTTTACAGGAAAAGAATAAATATTAACCACCCCCACCAACCCATCTGAAATCTAATAATTTGTCTGCACTAGAAAATGTATTTAACATACTGTATACAGGGAAATTTTTGCCCCCGTTTAATTTTCGCCCCTTTCGCCCTTTTCTTGATTGGGGAATTTAAAACAGGGCGAATTCAAATTAAACAGTATAATTTCTTAAACAGAACTATTACTGGGCGAATTTAAAACAGGGCAAAATTGTTTGCAAGTGCAAAAGGGCGAAAATAACACTGGGCGAAAATAACCCTGTATACAGTATTATGATTTTAATCTATCGAATTTATCATATATAGCTGCATGAATACAGGTGACTCTCGATGGCTCGAACTCCGATCTCTCGAAGTTCTCTATCTCTCGAAGTAAACCTCCAGTCCCGTTTTTTCCCTCTATATAACTAAGCAAATTTACTCCTGATCTCTCGAACTTCTTTCTCTCAAAGTTCTCTATCTCTCGAACCAAGATCTGGGCCCCGTTACACACATTTCATTGTTTTTTACCCTCTATCTCTCGAAGTTTAGATTGCGCGTGTATACACGCCAATCAAGCGTGAAATTAATACAGCTTGGATTTACCTGGATAACAGTGAATGCCTGGGGCTGGCATGGAGGTGTTAATTGGGTGTTTACATAGATGAAACTACACCTGTGGGTCGTCCGTGTGTAGATAAAATTAATTGGTTATAATTGGTAAATTATAAACGAATCGCTTCACAACTTATTTTGACTTGAAACCGGGACAATGAATTTTAGAAAATAGTTTGAAAACGTACGTGTCAATGAGTTCTGATAGACTATGTACTTTTATTACAGTCTACATAATCCCAGTATGTCAAACATTGCACAGAAAACCCTTTCTCAAGGATTGAATACTGATTGCGAGAAATCTGGTGAACACTGGTGAAGGACCCGATCAAGCCGCGGAAAAGCCAAACCGACATTGCTATTTAGGTTTCATGTAATCATGAAATTAGAACAAATAAAAATTGAACATTTAGGAAATCGTTTTATTTAATTAAAATACGATCAGTGTTGTTGATTTCAAATAAATTTCATGTAAAATACGATTGAAAACTTTCTATGACTTTATAAACATATACTTCTGGTATCTATAATAGTACAACATTGATGGTCGGAACTGAAATGTCCGGATTTTATTTACTTCCTATCTCTCGAACCCCTCGATCTCATGAACTTTTCTTGCGGTCCCTTGAACTTCGAGAGATCGAGAGTCACCTGTATACATGTATAGGTTCTCAGTGAAGTTTATTTTAGATAATAAGCAATATTATGGAGATGACATTTTTGTTTCTTTTTGCAGCTGGAGTAGTCCCAGGGATGAACCCGGTGCAGGCGTTCTTAGAGGCTGTTACTGCCTCCTCAAGACAGGAGAGTGTTTCCTACGTAGAGTTTGAGGAGTATTACGAAGGACTCAGTCTGGCCATCGAGAAAGACGAGGACTTTGTCAACGTTCTTCATAATACATGGAATGTCTGAAATGCAGGACTGAATTAGAAGAGAGGTGATAGTAAAATACCCCTAGGACAAATATTACCTGTATTTGATAACAGCCAGGGGTTTTGCAGAGGAGGTGAAAAAGTATTTGTTTATTATAAAAAAAGAAACTTGTGTCTAGATCATTTAGATTCACCAGGAAATTCAAATCCATCGGATGTAGAAGATACTAGATAGATGTTTGTGCAAATTTAGGAAATCAGAAATGGAGACTTTTACAAATTCAAGTCCAAGTGTTTCAGGGTAAATACATGCTAGAAGTAGAATTTGCCTTAGTTATTTAAAAAAAAAATTTCATTTTGCTATTGTTTCCCCAAAGACCAGAAGAAAATGTGTTCTAAGTAAAGGAAAGAAAGAACATAGTACATTCAATGACGTAAAAATTTTTACAGAGCAGAAAGTTAGAATATTAATTGGTTCCGGTGATGAATATGTGGCATGTATCATGTAAAAAATGTTTTATTCAAAAAGTGTAAGAATCCTGTAGTTTAAACACAATGGAGAGAATTGCAGAAAATAAAAATTGAACATAATGTTGCCAAAACAATTTGTCAAGATATGTATACATGTACACAATGTATGTAAATTCAACTTTTTGCCCACAAATACATTTATGCTTGCTTGTGATGTAAAGTGTATGTATATATTTCGTCAACTTTACTATGTTTAATTTTTCCTCAATGAATGGATGAGAAAAAAAATGTTTTATGAATTTTCTGGAATTGTAACATTCTGTGTTGTTTATAAAAGGTTTCTACATTGTACATGTATCTGTGATATATAGTTTTTAAAAATGCATTTATTAAGTTTAATTTCTTGTTTCAAAGATCTGTTTTCTTTTTATTTTGTTAATTTTCACTTTATTTTCATGTAAATTCACATTTTCCATGTCATTGTTTTAGGCTGAGATATTTTTCTGATCATGTTTGTCCATTGTCATGTTCATTTACCATGATTACATTTTCTCCCTATTTTTCTCACAAATAACAGTGTTCATTTATTTTCAGCCAAACTTGGCATAGTAGGGCTGGGCAAAAATATCGATATTTCAATATATTGCAATACAATGACAAGAAATATTGTATTGCAATACAATTTTGTAATATCGATATATTGGCAATATGCTTAGATTAAGGAATTTTATCATTAAATATGAGAATGGATTATGAAAGGTTTGTTATTTAGCCAAACAGTAGGACAGAAGTTCTGTGGGAGTATTTCAGAGCATAACTTAAATGAAATCAAGAAGTTTTTTTCTGTGTTGGTTACTTATCATAGTTATGTACATTCTGTTAATTAAAGTAAATTTAGTAAGAAAATGCCATTTTAATTAGATGGAAAATATTGCAATACATATCGCAATACAGTTAAAAATATTGCAATATATAGCAATACGAAATCTCAGGCCAATACCCAGCCCTATGGCATAGAGTATTCATAGTCAAGATTCAAGTTTATTGAGATGATGGGAGATGCAATTGCATCTCCTTGAAATAATAACATAGAAATACATGTAAGTGGGGTTACATAAATATTGTATTCTGGAGTAGCACTTTCAATGGAAAAAAAAATTTAAGATTAAATATGTGTACCTCTTTCAATTACGGCCCTTGGTGGTGGTGTTTGGGGGGGGGGGACTGCCATGGGGCCTTATAAGGGATGCTTTTTTGACAGAATTATATAGAAGATAGTTTTTCATTTAGTAAAACAGTAAGAACAAGAAGGAAAATGGCCAAATAGCTGATTGTTGTGATTTATCCTTTTTAGCTTACCTGAGCCAAAGGCTCAATTGAGCTTTTCTGATCACAATTTGTCTGTCTGTCTATCCGTCTGTAAACTTTTACATTTTCGACTTCCTCTCAAGAACCACAGAGCCGATTTCAACCAAACTTGGCACAAAGCATCCTTGGGTGAAGGGGAATTTAAATTAATAAAATGAAGGGCCAGGTCCTCTTACAAAGGGAGATAATCTAGAAAAGACAAAAATAGGGTGGGGTCATCAAAAAAATCTTCTCAAGAACCACTGGGCCAGAAAAGCTGAAACTTATATGGAAACATCCTAACGTAGTGTAGATTCTAAATTGTTAAAATCATGACCCCCCTGGGGTTGGGCGGGGCCACAATGAAAGTTTTATATAGAAATATATAGATTTTTTAAAAACTTTTCTCAAGAACTGCTTGGCCAGAAAAGCTGAAACTTATGTGGAAGCATCCTGGGGTAGTGTAGATTTTAAGTTGTGCAAATAATGACCTGTGGGATATGATGGGGTCACAATAGGTATTACAAGGGGGGAGACCTGGTTAAGAGTAGCATGGTGTAAGCTTCTCAGCTGAGAGATGTGGCCCATGGGCCTCTTGTTATAATTACAATGTCCTTTTTTACATAGAATTTAAGCCGTCCTGAACATTTACTTGAACTTTTACTTAATATGATTGAATTTTTAAAATATTTATTTACATTTTTTTAATGAATAAATTTACAGAACCTGCAAAACCTTTTCTATTTATTATAAAAAAGTTACTAAATTTAGTTATTTAGTAATATTTATGATAAAATAGTTTAAACAAAAATCAGAACCATTCTGAATTAAAGAAAAAAGAATTTTTTGTAATACAATGTATAAGTAAAAGAATGATAATTTTTATATATTATATTAGTCATAAGAAAGGAAAAAATATTTTTTAAAGTTTGAAAAATATGTGTTAAACATTTTAAAGAATTGTTGAAAAGAGTACATTCTTTGAAAAACAAATCTATCAAAATTTATTTCAGATTTACTCGATTGCAACTAATGCTTATAAAAATGTTTTGCCTGCAAGTTTTTAATGCAATAATGCAATATTTAATCTTACATATATATTAAACAAGTTTATACGAATGTAACTTTTTAATCGCATAATAAATGATAATAAAGGATGAATAAGGTTTCAGTTACTGAAGAGTTCACGGCTTCAAACAGCTATACAGATATCAGAAAATTGATAAATGGAGTTTTTTAATGAAGGAAAAGATACTGAGGAAATAAAATTAATGATGATTAAATCGATTTGTAAACGCTTTTTTTCACAGGTAATTGGCACGACATACTTTCTATTATAAAAAGGAATAAGCCGATACCTTAGAAAATATGGGATTCTTTTTTTTTTTTTTTTTTGTTGTTTTTTTTTTTTAATTAAAGAAAATACTGATGAAGTATGTTGTCAAGTGCCTATCATAAAAGTATGTACATTGAACTATAACTTTTCCTACACTAAACGAATATTGACGTAAAATATACTTGAAACTATACATTATTGTGTGTGAACTTAGGCATCTGTGAGTGTTACTTCCGGTAACCATCAGGCAACAGCTGATAAAAAAAATATTTATAGTTTAATAGATGAATAAATTTTACTTCAAGTGTACTTTGGAGCTATTGCAAAGAGAGGGTTAGATTATAATTAGTAGATACATACAAAAAAGACATGTACTATGACCTCAACATTCAATTGCTTTCATCATGTTCATGTGTAGGACCAAGTGACCCATATTAATGATATAATGATTAAGAAGGATTTTATACTTTTCCAGATATTGTTACCATTTTAAAACAACATCATAATTTTATTTGAATAAAATGAGGGCATCACAAAATATGTCGAGTCGCCTGCTTGGCGCAGTGGTTAGAGCGTCTGCAATAAAGTCACGAAGTAAGGAGTTAATCGTTACGTCGCGGGTTCGAATCCCACTTGGACGTGGAGACCGGTCTTTCGGATGAGTCCATACAAACCGAGGCCCCGTGTCGAAGTAGGTGCTGGCTCGAAAAAGATCCCTCCTTGCTCAATGGCCCTTCGTATCCCTTTCTCAAACCATTTCAAAGCAATGACTTAGGCTAACTTTTTCTTAAATTTCCAAAAGACAGAAAAATTCCAAGGTCATGAGGTCAAAAATTTTGTACTCAATGTCTTGTCACTATGAATACCCATATAATATTTGAAAGCCACAGCTCCAACTATAATCAAAAGTTATGGGCATGGTTAAATTTGTGCGAAAATCAGATAAACGGATGGGAAAAAAAGCTATACTCTGTAACCCGAATCTTCGGAATATTTTTTGAAAATTTATAATAGTAAATTATTGTGATATTCATACTTTTGTTATGATAAAATCAAGTTACAAAATGTACATACAATGTATAAACCTAATAGAAGGAAAGTCTAAGTAGTCTAAGGAACACCTCAAAAGAAAGGTATGCAATTAAATTTTTAACAGGAACAAAATACAAAACATCTGCCTACATGTATATATATTCGGTTCGATACTTGTATTTTCTTCCTCAACAGAAATGGCTGAACTCTGGTGGACGTGGTTTATTTTGTTCGGCGGATGTATCGACTGTTTTGGTATACCCTTCTCTAATTTATTTCACGATTATTGATATATTAGATTATGCATGATTCATTTAATTTTTTTTCATACCAGTGCATTAAAAAAAAAAAAAATTTGTTAACTTTTTAAATCTCAGATTATTATTTTCGTCTTTTGACTTGAAAGACAGCAAAGTTTTTAAGACGCAATTTTATTTTATTGTTCTTTACTTTAATTAAGGGGGCGGACTCGGGTTTCTATTACGCAATATCTCGCGCATCATAGTAAAATAAAGTGTATTTATTATTTTAAAGCAACTTTTTTCTCAAAATTTATAGATTTAAGAAATCAAAGGTTTATTACAATCAATAAGTGATGCTGAAAGCGATGTTTCAAATGATAGCGATAGGTACATCATACATGTAGATTGACGACATACATTTAAGGGTGTGTTTGTGAAGTTGTGATTTTAAACTGAAGCCCAATCCTCTTAAGGTGCATGGACACAGATTTGAAGTTAATATTCTCTGTATGATATTACGACATATTACACAAAAATAAATCTAAAATCTTATTTCATTTAAAAGTTATAAAAAAAATCAAATATTTGGTGGGTTTGATTGACACATCCTTGCACTTTCACAAATTTTAACTTTATTCTTAATACTTATTAAAAGGCAATCTTGTTGTGTATGAATGAAAAATATTAAAACTATAATCCAGAAAATTCAGAGTAGAAATGTCCGAAAGCAAAACATACACACAGTATATTCTCAGTCCGTGCAGTTGTGGTGAGCAGACTTTAATGATTGAACGCATCCGATGAATCATAAACATCAACAATAACAGAGCTCGTGCCCTGTTAACAAAAATGTGTACGTTTAACGGCAGGGATCAATTTGCTAGACTCTGTACACAACCCTTAGCTCGGAATAACGATACTTGTGAAGGAGTTTTGCTTTCTAACCTTTCTACTCTGAATGAAATTATTTTTCTGGATTAAAGTTTTAATAATTATTCTCATTAATACACAACAAGATTGCCACTTTTCTTAAGGAATTAAGAATAAACTTAAAATTTGTGAAAGTGCAAGGATGTGTCAATCAAACCCGCCAAAATATTTAAAGTTTTAATAACTTTTAAATGAAATGAGATTTGAAAATAATCTTTGTGTGAAATGCTATTAAAATATATAATTCGTGATATTATACAGAAAATATTAACTTCAAATCTGTGTCCAAGTACCTTTGATTTAATGAAATAAGATTTTTAATTTATTTTTGTGTAAAATGCTATTAAAATATATAAGTCGTAATATGGGTACAGTCCACTAATTGTTTTCCCATAGGCGACAATGTTAACGTTTCTTCTCATAGCGATGTCCCTCATTTTCGTTCAGAAGTGAGTGACCTCTCAAATCAAAGCACATCAACTTGTCTTTCCTTGGTTAAAATCTCGAGGTGGCATGTCAGATTCGTTTTCCGGCAAATGCGTCTGTCTGCGGTAACCCCTAAAAATGAAAGTGAAAGTAGGGGAATTTCAGAGTTCTCACTGGCGTTATAATACACAAAATAATTCGGCTGATCTTCTTGATAAATTACATTTGCCAAGCTTTTTTGGTAGGAAAGATACTCCTTATCAACAAGTGTGAGGCTCAATTCAGTACATCTGCCCAATTTTTTTATGCAAGTCAGCAAATTAATTAAGGAACTTGTAATTTTTTCTGCACTACTTTCTTCTACCGATTCTAAAAATAATTAGTGGGATGTACCCATATTATACAGAAAATATTAACGTCAAATCTGTGTCCATGCACCTTATTTAATTTTAAGGTCAAGATCTAGTAAATGAAGGATGGCTACACATGGTAAAAAAGAGAAATATATTCCTTTAATGATGCTTTAAAAATTTAGCTTAGTCAAATAAAATAATTTGTAGGTAAACAAGATAAAAAAAAAACCACTTTCTAAACTGTCATTTTCAAAGAAAAATTAAGAAAACCAGCCATGAATATGGTAGTTTTTTTCATATTCGACAAAGGAAATGTACATGTATTCAAACTGCCTCATTAGTGTGTGCAAAATATTTCATATCTAGACATATAATTCAAATCTTCATGAGATTTTTGCAAATTATAAAGATTTTACATAATTATAGATTACTTTAATGTTAGATGAAATATTAATGAAAATTGTGATATTATTGAGATTTAATTTTTAGCTCTAAGACTACTGGTCAGAGACCATATACCCAGATAGCATGACTCTGTTGGGCCAACGTTGGTTTTTGGTTGTATGGTTGGTAGAGTGTTGGCGTTGGGGAACAGATGTAGGCCCAACGTTGGTCCAACGTTCATTTACGTTGGCATGAAAGCTAAACCAACGGTGTTGGGCATGTGATGTTGGCCCAACGTTGGTCCAACGTTCATTTACGTTGGCATGAAAACTAACCAACGGTGTTGGGCATGTGATGTTGGCCCAACGTTGGTCCAACGTTCATTTACGTTGGTATGAAAACTAAACCAACGGTGTTGGGCATGTGATGTTGGCCCAATATTGGCCCATTGTAGTAACATGTTGACAAGAAACATAGCGACTTGGTGTTGGACATTAAGATGTTGGCCCAACATAGGTCCAACCGAGTAAATGTTGACATGGATCAAGACCATCGTGTGTTGAGTATGAAATGTTGGCCCAACGTAGGTGTAACTGAGTACATGTTGACACAAAACATTGCCACTTATTGTTGGTTATTCAATGTTGGCCCAACGTTGGCCCAGCTTAATAAATGTTGACAATATAATAATGCATTGCTCTGTGTTGGGCGTGCTGGACTGAACTGGAGTTGGTCCAATAGTAGGAATATGGGATTACTAGTACATGTACAGGTAGCCTGTAATGTTTGAGATGAAATGCTGGTCCAACGTTGGCCCAATGTTGCGAAAAGTATTCATCAATTTAGATTTATCTATTGTATATCGATGGTAATGATATAAGCAACTCATTATAAAAATGGGATCTATATTATATATTGAATGGAAATTATGAGACAATCCTTATAAGTCTGTGAATTACATATAGTAATTTTGTATCTTGGTAGATTCTATATTTAGCATCATTGAATCAAATTTAAAGTGCTGTGTTTTGCATGTTTTGGGCTCCAAAATAAATAGGTCACTGGTGAAATTCACTGGCTCGGCAGGTGACTCCCCAGATAGCAAGACATAGTTGGGCCAACGTTGGCCCAATATTTTTTCCAACGTTGGCCCACGGTTGGTAACCTTACGTTGGCCCACGGTAATTTTGCTCATCGGCCCAACGTTGGTCCAACATGTTGGCATATTGTTGGGCCAACGTAGGTATAATTGTATGACAACTAACAGCCAACCTTAAAAACTGGTTCGTTAGGTTGGCCCAACGTTGGGCCTTTGTTGAAAAGTCAGATGGCATATTGTTGGGCCAACGGAGCTATAAGTGTATGCCAACTAACAGCCAACCTTTACAACTGTTAGGTTAGGTTGGCCCAATGTTGGCCCTATGTTGAAATGTCAGATGGCATATTGTTGGGCCAACGTAGTTTTTAGTGCATGCCAACTAACAGCCAACCTTAACAACTGTTTGGTTAGGTTGGCCCAATGTTGACCCTGTTTTACAATGTCAGATGGCAAATTGTTGGGCCAACGTAGTTATTACATAGAAACATTTGCAATTGGTTAAGTGATTCTTTACATAAACCTATTTTATGACTGTTTAAAATAATTAATACACAATTCAATCTGCATTCATAATGCATACATGGACATGTTCAATGAAAACATAACTAATGATTCACTGTGATAATATTTTATATAAATCAATTCAATCATAATTTACAAAATAAATTTTAGAATAGACAATAGAAGTAAATAATGAAAATTTATCAATTCAAAGTTCTTAATCAGGGCTCACTTGAGTCACTTCCTTTATTACTGTCCTTTTGTTGTATTCCCGCTCTTTTTCCGTCCCTTCGTCGCCTCCCGTTTTTCTTCATCTTGATCTTTGTCATACGGACTCGTACTTTATACAATTCTTTACGCATGGTCTTCGATTTCATTGTTATTTACCGCCACCACATTTGTTTTCCTTGCAGTCTCTGACTGAATTTCTTTGTTACAATCGTGTCTGTAATATACAGTTAAGAATTAGATAGATAGAAACAACTTCAAAGATGTTATTTAACCTTTACTTACAGTGCTTGTGTGCAAAAACATGAAAAGATTGAATTCCGAATCAATTTAAACAGTTAACATGAATAAATAAGAATAAGTATACTTACATCGCTTCTAAATGCAGCTATATAGCAAGTGTATAATCCACAAATTTAAATTTCACTTCTTCTTGCTTGCCCTCCATTATCACCACCTGTGAGCAATTGAATCTGACAGCTAACTCCACAGTTTGGTCACGTGTTAGCGAACGCCTTACTTTTGTTTCAATTTAATTATAAAGCTGTGTCATTTTGATTTATGTATATGTAGGCTTCATTCACATCCTGTTCCTGAGAACTTATTCAGACTTCTCTAAATTCTCATGAATACAACGCTCATGAAAAAATTTATAATTTCAAAGATTTTATTTCTAATAAATAATCATGCATGTGCACAATTCAGAAACTAAAATAAAACACTCTTTGGTGCTGTGATCACTTAAGTTAAATTTGACACCATCTTTAGTTGGCAGTATAATAATGGGAGCGTTATGAAACACCTAAACAAAAGAACACTATAACATCGGGCCAACATACTACTACCAAATTGATAAGACACTTTCTTTAAAGGTGTATAACAAACACTGGGCCAACGTTGGGCCAACATACTACTACCAATTTGATGAGACACTTTATTAAGTATGCATTACAAACATTTGGCCAACGTTGGGCCAACAAACTACTTTCAACTTGATAAAACGCATTCTTTTAATGGGTGCATGTATAACAAACATCGGGCCAACGTTGGGCCAACATATACCTACCAACTTTAAAACACACTTTCTTTACGGGTGTATTACAAACATTGGGCCAACGTTGGGCCAACATACTACTACCAAATTTAAAAAACACTTTCTTTAAGGGTGTATAACAAAATCGGGCCAACGTTGGGCCAACATACTACTACCAACTTTAAAAGACACTTTCTTTAAGATTGTATTACAAACATCGGGCCAACGTTGGGCCAACATACTACTACCAACTTTAAAAGACACTTTCTTTACGGGTGTATTACAAACATCGGGCCAACGTTGGGGCAACATACTACTACCAACTTTAAAAGACACTTTCTTTACGGGTGCATTACAAACATCGGGCCAACGTTGGGCCAACATCAACACCCGATCCTTCCTTGGTAAGAAAAGTGAATGGAAGATGCTAACGTTGGACCAACGTTGGGCCAACATAGGAATTCTGTCATGGTCGAGAAGGTTGGCATGGTGACATTGGTCCAACGTTGGCCCAACGTTGTTTCCCCAACGCCAACCATACAACCTTTTGCCAATGTTGGCCCAACATAGTCTTGCTATCTGGGTCATAGGTCTCCAAGGAAACCGTCATTTAAATCAGCTTTTTTAAACCGCGCACTTGAACAATTGCAAAGCGTATGTGTATGTTTAAGTGAACGCAAGAATTTTAATCCTTTCAATGTAAGTATAGCTTTTGTTTTTTGTTATTGAAATAATTAATAATGTGAAATGCACAACATTGTAATGACCTGCATGTAGGCTTTCAAATTATTGATACCGGGTAGCTGATTAAACAATTGTAATTGATGACGATCTTAACTTTTATAGGAATTGGCGGGCTTGAACAAAGCAGATATGTCCGGATCTGTAAGTGAACGCAAAAATGTTAACCAGTGAAATGTAAGTAACTATTTTGTATTTGTTATTAATAATTAATAATGTGAACTTCAATCTTCAGGATTGCTTTAAAAATATGTGTGATGCTGATGAACATTTGAAAATACTATTTTAATTGATGACAATCTTAACGTTTACAGGAAATGCCGGGATGGAAAAACCCTCTTCACTCTGAGACTATTGATGTGGAATTTTCTGTATATTGAAGGGACTGATTTATATGTGTGGGAAAACATGGATTCTAAGAACAGATAAACAACAGAAAAAGTGATAAGTGATTCAAATATGACCTTCCGGAACTCTACAATTAGAACTTGAAGACTCTTATATCAAAGCGATATTTAGTAGTGGACATAGTGATGTGGAATGTACTTGAGAAACCTTGAACTTTCTACCTCTTCCTTCTTTTAGTTACATTCCATGGAATACTTTAATGAAAGTGAAAGTGGCAAAGAATATATTGTAATACATTTTAGGAGGAAAAAAGTATTTGACCAAACATGGTGAAATTAATTGTGTCGTATAATCTGGGAAATAAAAATTACAGAATTTAATTAATTTTGTAAGACATGTGTATTGAGGAATAATTGTGCCATTGATATTTCAAGAAACAGCTTTGTATCAACGTTGAACCAACGTAATAACTATATTTTGAACTGAGGTCCAATGTAGGGCCAACGTTACAAAATATTTGGTTAGCATTGGTACGTTGGAATAGCTTTGTACCAACGTTGGCATTTCAACAAAAGCGTTGTACCAGTGTTGGACCAACGTCGGACCAACGTCATGATTATATTTTGAACTGAGGTTCAACGTTGGGCCAACGTTAAAAAATATTGCGTTGGCGTTGGTATGTTGGAATAACGTTGTACCAACGTTGACAAATAAACAAACAGTATTGTACCAACATAGGCGCAACATGTTGGGCCAACGGCGCGCCAATGAGCAGTAAGACATTGGGCCAACGTAAATTGCCAACATTGGCCCAACATAACCAACATTGTTGGGCCAACGTCCTCATGCTATCTGGTTAAGAGCTTATGCGATTGTAATGCGCCCGGTGTTCGTCCGTCTGTCTAGCTGTCTGTGTTTAAACAATTTTTCAAAATGCTACTCCTTCTACAGTTTTTGTCTGATTTCAATATAAGTTGGCACACAAGTAGACTACACTACGATACATAACTATGTGCATCGGTTTTTGGTTTCGATGAACGATGTTGCCGTGATAACTAAAAATAGAAATTTTCGTAAAATAATTAAAAATGCTATTACAAATACAGTTTTAGTTTGATTATGATATAATGTGGCATGCAAATAGACTACACTAGGATACACTATTGTCTTAAATGTCTTTTTTAAGGACAAGTGCACTTAAGCAACTTAATGGGCCCTTTTTATGTGCCATTTTACTTAAGAAAATGTTCCATTGCGCAATATTTCGCTTTTGGTAAAATGAAGCGTATTTACTGTTTTAATGCAACTTTTTTCGCTTAATTATTAAAATTAAACAAAACTAAGAAATTATAGGTATAAAAATGTCATTACAATTTGATATAACTGATTTTTTAACCGATTTTGCAATTGATAGGTAGGTTGACGTCGTTGCAGTGTGTTTTTGACGTTATGCTAATCTGTAGCTCTTAAAGAAAGGGGTTATAAAAATATTAATAAAGAAAAAGTAATAAACATACGCTCTTGAAATTTAAAACATAGAAATTTGAGAATATCTACAATATTTTTATTATGTTTTCATGTGAATCCATTATGTACGTCATATTTTCTAATACTCTATAAAAATAGTAAAATTTGCTAATATTTTGCATTTTAGTTGCCTGTAGCCAGAATTTTGTGATCAAACATATAGAAATATAGTATTTGCATTTCAAATAATAGTTTGAACAAAATAGTTTCACTGAACTTGAAATTAAAAAGGAGTGTTTAGGTAGCTTTCAATACCTGTTTCATTGTCTTGTATGGATGATAAAAAAATGACACTTTTATGAACGTTCGCGACAATATTTCTGATTAAAAAGCACGTGAAGCATCACCTAATTCAGCTCTCTGGATACGCTAAATCCCTCGGTGTATCTTAAAATCAAATACATAAAACAAATGTTTCTAGCCATAAGCGGCATTTGAAATAAAATACAATAATAGTTTCACTGAACATTGCAATACCTGTTTCACTAAATAATAAATGATACAAAACCTGCCGATGTTTTACAGTGAGCACCTTTGAGGATCGAGTGTTTACCTGGGCTGAACTCACATGACTATAAGTATTTTAATAATTTATTCCACACGTGGGTTCAACATCAAGTTGAACATGGGTCATACAGGTAAACAGCTCTCATTTGCTATAGGAAAACATTGTAATTTCTGTATATTTTTTATATTTTAAGTACCAGCCTAATCGTGTGCAAATTTCCTACTTTCACACAACTTTTATAAATGTATTATGCGTCTTTTGTCATTCGCACAAGTTTGTACAAAGTTAGGCTCATAGTAAACAAAAGCTTTGAAATGAATGACCGTTCTCGATTTACTATAGAAAATCACAAATGTCGGCTGACCCCTGCTACATTCTATGGTTTTGTTCTTTGTATATTCGTGAATTTCAGCGGTAAAATTTGTTGAATCGTACGGTTTAAATATCAATTAATAATTTGGGATGAAAAAATTTCCTTAATATGATTGTTTATTTTTTCACATGTTACAGTGGCCCATATGTGCGCTCGTTCTTTATTTTGATGAATGTTGTTGCCATGGTGACTAAAATTGAAAATTCTTTAAAAAAATTATTAAAAGCTACTCCTACAGTTGTAGTCTTATTGCAATATTGCCACAAAAAGTTACTTAATCAAGAATCATTATTCTATTTATTGCTGTCGAAAAGTTTCAAGTCCCAACTGCTACTTTTCTCTTCCTTTGTTATACATGTAAGTACAAACCAGTAGAGCTACAGTCTCGACAGAGACTTCTGGTTTATCTTCATGTTTGTCGCGCTATAGGTTTTTCGCTCGTCATGGTCTTTCATCTCTTTAGACACTGCCATTTCATTTGTCAAACAGTATGATTAATTGTTTACCACATATGATGGAAAATTTCATAATTTTTGTTACGATCCACAGAAAACCTGAGCAAGAAACCTACAACGGTGCTGTCCCAGAGTTCCACGTATGGTATGGGAAATGCTTCGTACGCCAATGACGGTAACCTAAACACAACAGAAAGTGATTGCGCCCATACTGCTCACAACCAGTCTAAGGCTTGGTTCCAAGTGGATCTTGGAAAACCTCACGGAATACAGCATGTTAAAATTTATTATCGACGAGAAGGTACGAGGGCTGTTCAAATTTAAGAAATGAATTTAATTTTTGAAGATTCATGAGGTTATGAACTACGACGCTTCACGCCGGCATATTTCATGAAGCGCGTTAGCGCTTCATGATAAATATTCCGGCGTGAAGCGTTGTAGTTCATATACCTCATGAATCTTCAAAAAATTAAATTCATTTCTTATATTTACATTATTTTTCTGATGATTAGCCATAAATTTACGCCGTTCAACTGTCATTTTTAAAACAAAACAGAGTGCACTATATTTTTTGACTTTTTGACGTCAAGAGCGGTATTATGACATAACAATGGAGATATTCATGCTTATTCACCTTTAGAATGTAGTTCATGTGAAAATATACTGCATTTTATTTTGTAAAGAAACATAGGGGAAATTTATTGGAAATGTAAATATTAAATAATGTCATTAGCTCGATGTCATACAACACAGAAATCATATGGTATTATAAGCTTGACTTTCTCTCATTATTGAATCTTTAATGAATTGATAACAAAGTTTATGTGACCACTTTTTATTACATAGTTTCATTGAAGAAAGCTGGAAAACAAGGGCTATTACTGCATTAAAAATGAATGGTTAAGAATCAGTAATTTAAAACTAGAGTGAAATTAAACGCTTCATTAAAGCTGCTGAAAAACCTGTTAAGAATTCCAAAGAAATATAAACTGAAATATGTGAGTTTTACAGCAACCAAGGTCTGTTTTATAGACACATGATCAGGTGAATTTCAAAAAACAAAAAAATATATACGTGTAATAGACCTCAAAACTATTACCGTTTTTTGCGCCTTGATAAACGGGGCTCCAATGTTTATATAGCGAAAATGCATGATTTCTTTAGAAATCATTTCCTTTGCTCCTGGGTCTTATGCCAATGATCTCAGTATATATTTATGATGAAAAAAGCTGTCTCTTACAAAATGGCCAGTTTCAGAGTCCCTGGGGGGCATATTCTGAAATTGAATTAATGCTTTGAAATCTGCTCCTTGGTATTAATCAACTATCTAATATGATGAAATAAAATTGATGATAAAATTTCCAAAATTTGAAATGTGTGGCCCCAGGGTCAGTGGGACTTGTGGATTCACGACTTGTTATAAAGTAGAAATGCACTTTCTATTCTGGTCTACATCTGAGTATTAAGTAACCAAGGTAAGCATGCCAAGTGTCTAGTTATGATAAGCAATGGTGCCTTTTTCAAAATTGTGACTTTAATGGTCTCTTATTTAAAACAAGAATCAAATTTAATAGTTGGAAAGTTATTATATGATACTCAGGTGACCTATAAGACCCGTGTGTCTCTTGTTTGTAAATCTTATGTATTTTTAAAACAAAAATACAAAGGATTTATAAGTTAATTATTTTGATTTTTCTTTTCGATTCCTTTATTTTATTTAAAAAAAAAATTATGTGGAACAATTATACGAGGAATGATGAAAAAGTTAACTTTATACTTATTACTCTACATGTCAAAGAAAACTAACTTGATTTCAATTTTTATTTCTTTTTAGCAGATAAAAAAAACTTTTTGTTACTGTTCGATCTTTAATCACGAATTACTGTATTAAGGATACATTTGTTCTCCTTGTCACAAAGTTTTGTCATTTTGTAAATTTTGAATTTACTGGGTGGCACCAAATACAAAAGAGCTCGGTTCACTTTATGTATAAAACGGCCCTGTAGAAATACCAATTTATTAATTAACACTTTATGTTCCTTAGTAAACATCAAAACTAAACTAGAGACTTAGTACTTTCATTTCCTATTAATTTTTTTTCTTCAGGTCTTGAAACACATGCTTTATGGAATTGCAAATTTCTTGAATTTTAATGTAAACAGGTATATTTGAGTACTTTCAGAGAAGAAAAATAATATGAACGCATCCTCTGATCTAAAAAATAAAGCATGTCTTGTTATCATCAGCAACAGTTCTATCATTAAATAGTTGCTTATTTTTGATCAGATGTTGCACTCTATATTAAATATTAGAAAATTCCTTTACAAAATTACAATGTAGCTGTGTTTGTTGACCTTTTGGAATATGAGGAAATTGACGCATTCCGTGACTTTATACTGCAATGACCAGAAACCCTGTTTTTGATAGACTTACAATCACCAGAGGTCTCAATGATATTTAATGCATTGTTAGCTAAAATCATATAAGCATTTTCAATTTTTCAGAAAATCACAGGGCCAAATAAGGCAAAAAGTGAACCTTGCTCTTCACAACATGACGGCATTCAGAATTAACAAACATCCTTTTAAGGTCAGACGACACGTTTCTCAAAAATATATAATTTTTCCTAAGAATTTGTCATTGAAGTAAAGGTACTTAAACAAGTTTCCTCACAAAAATTTAGGGTACCTTACCAGGCATTTGGACAAGATACCATAGGGTCATATTTCTTATATAACCCTTATGAGTAATCTCTTGAATGGCCTATACCACAATTTTGGGTGTACTTATACCTAAAAAAAAATTTAAAACAATGTAGAAATCAAAAGAGAATGACAAATATAAATAATTTTTGATATAATACCAAGAGAAACAGGACATATATTTGAGAAACGTGTCGTCTGACCTTAATCATTCATTGCCTTTTTGGCACCTGATCCCACCTCTGATGTTTTAGAGGTCCGTGTTTGTTCTGCTCCTATTTCATAATGTTTAATGGATTTTTGATCTCGATAACTATTGTTATCTCCAAATTTTTCACTAAAACAACCAGTCAAATGACGAATTGAGATTTGTTCAAATCTATCGATACAATAACTATTTTCAGGTGATGGAGCTATAGATTGGAAGCAATATAGATTTAGAAAGTTCTATTTGGACGTTTCTAACTCATCCGCATCTGGCAGTATGACGTCACAGAGGGCTCGCTGCTTTACCGACAATACTAAGGAACCAACCTTACCCCCTAATATCATTGATATTCCTTGTGAACAGTGGGCGAGATATGTCATTGTGGAATCCACTTACAAAGCTCCAGAAGATAACCGTTCAACAGGGCCAATTCTGGAAATTTGTGAGATAGAAGTTTATGGTAATTGATAGTTATGTAACGTTTTTAAAAGTTGAAGTAAGGTCAAGATCAAGTAAATGACTTCAGACTGTCTTCTTGGTGCCAGATTCATTATGGTTTTCTCTTTTGTTTGATGTCTCCGTTAGTAAAGTACTTTAATGAAAAATTTGAAATAATGTGAAAAGTAATCCTGATCCGCACATTCAATTAATATCAGTTTAAAGAAGAGACCGTGAACAACAAATACAAATAGTTTAATTTTACTTGTAACACGTCGTTTGATTGGATAAAAGATTTTATCCATTTTGTATAACATAACTTGCCTACGTCACAATGAGTTACGTCAAAAAACGTATTACTCCGCTTGACATTACTTTTAAAATTTAATCAATGTGAAGCCTTATTCTGGGGGAAAATTGTCTCATTGTCTGCACTGAAATTAAATTATAAGGAATGAAGCTTATTTCAACTTATATTATACGATATAACAAAACTTGGGACAGCTTGCGCTTTTTTGTAAACTGCCCCAAGTTATGTTATATCGCATAATATAACTAAGAAATAAGGTATCATTTTTAAACATCTGTCGGGATATAAATACGGGTTGGTCACAAGATTAAATTCCATAAAGCCCGAAGGGCTTTATAATGAATTTAATCTCGTACCAACCCGTATTGATAACCCGATAGATGTTTTAAAATGATACCTTATTACATATATTTACATTTGTGACTTACACTCGATTCATACATGTACTTCATATTTGCCTGATTGTGACTTTTAACGTGTGAAATGCATTATTTTTCAAACCCAATGGCATGTTTGTAATCCACTGAACGCGCGTCAACCCTTTATGACGTCACTGAGAAATTACGTCAAACGTTTATCCATAAGCACATCTATGACCTCTTGACCCCGTACCTGTATTTATACAGTTATAGATACGCATTGCTTTCAGTAGTTTTATATAAAGGAAAACATTTGCAAATGTAAATATGTTGAAATAAGCTTCATTCCTTAAATAACATTTCCCCGAGAGACTGTCGGCAACCTGGATATATTTCCTTTGTCGGATAAAAATTGAAACCCCAGTACACTGTATCCACATCTAGTATTCTTAATTCTTCATTGAAAGTGAAAATATATACATTTATTGACTGAGTTCGAGGGCAACATGCATTTTGTCGGACCCAAGAACCAAACTGTCTGCCTGAGGCCGTCAGGCCAAAGGCAGGCTGTTTGATTCGAGGGTCGACTTAGCTCATTTTGGCCGAGAACATAGCCAATAGATGTTTTGATATACCTTTCTTTTTTTGACAAACATGCATTTTGTACTGTCTTCCGTTATGTTACCTTAGCCCGTCACTCTTAAACACCAAGGAATAAAAAATGAGATTAAGCTCCGACCATTCTGTGACGTAAACGTTCCAACATCATTTGTTTTAATCCCGCTCTGGAAAACATTAGAAAACGTTAGTTTTTTTTGCATAGATTTGTATAGGAACGAATTTTTAAAGATATAATAATTCGTTTTGTTTATCTACAAATTATACTCTGAAAAAACTTACTTGACTAAGCTATTAATATATTTATAAGCATTTACTATATCTCGATCTTAAGGGAGGGACTACATGTAGATGAATTTCTTCAACTATTTCCAGACTACTTAGTTTTATTACTCAAGGACTGCATGTAGCTATAATACAATTAAACTATTGCTTTGAGGTTGTATAATTAGCATACTATTAAAATACATAAATATTTCTCGATTTTCGCATAAAATGCGTTTCGATATTTAAGTTCATATATTTCTGCAAATTTATCCGCTGTTTTTTTTTAATTACCTTTCTTTATGTTCAAACATGTTTTCAAATTCTGCTGTTACAATTCTCCACCTATTTTAAAATCTTATTTTAAAACACAAGATTTTTTATAACCCATAAGCATACCCCTACCTCTCATATAAATGTTTTGATCTGGGTTACGAGAAAAAAGTGTCAGATCTTAAAGTAAATATGGAGATACACAATGACGCTAAGTAACACAGATTCAATAAAAGTTTCATTAAAATTCAGTCAGTGGTATAAGAGGAGTTGCGGGTGATAGATGAATATCATGTAGCGTAACAGAAAGTTGGACGAACGGACAGACATCCTGATCATTTCATACCTTCCAACTTTTCAATGATAAAGCGAGACATAATTTAGAATGTCCTTTATTTGTATTAGAAATTCATCTACAAATGAAAATTATAATACGTTGTATTTCATTAACAGGATGTAATTTAAGACATTATGGTTTGGATTGTTCAAAAAAGTGCAGTGAGAATTGTATCAAGGAGATATGTAATACAACAAATGGTTCCTGTACATTTGGTTGTAAAGGTGGATTTTATGGAAACTTATGTAACGAATCCTGTAGTATATCATGTCCATCTGGATGCAACAGGTACACTGGCTATTGCGATGGGATATGTCCTGTAACCTACTTTGGACATTTTTGTGAAAAAATATGCAACTCAAACTGTCTAGGTGGGTGTAATAGGGAAACTGGCCTCTGCGACTTCGGTTGTATTGACGGAAAATTTGGTGAACTATGTAACGAAACCTGCAGTATTGGATGCAATTCTATCTGTGAACAGGAAAATGAAAATTGTTCATGTAAAGCAGATTGGAAAGGAGATAATTGTGATGGTAAGGAGAAGCAAATGAGGTAATCAATATTTAAATATTTAACATGATACTATGGAATCCGGATAGGGCCATGCAGTTCACTATCGCATCATCGCACCATCGAGGTTTGGGTTGATAATGCGATGACACGATAATGCGATGACGATGAAGCGATGGTGCGATAACGATGAAGTGATGGTGCGATAGTGCGATGACGATGAAGCGATGGCGCGATAATGCGATGACGATGGTACGATAGCACGATGAAGCGATGGTGCTATGACGCGATGGTGCGATAACGATGGCGCGATGGTACGATGACGATGAAGCGATATTCACTTTTACTCTATCGTTCTATCGCACCATCGTCATCGCGCTATCGCACCATCGCATCATCGTCATCGCGCTATCGCACCATAGCTCTATCGTCATCGCACCATCGCTTCATCGTTATCGCGCCATCGCATTATCGCGCCATCGACCTATAAGTCGATGCTCGATGGTGCGATAGTAAACTGCATGGCCCTATCCGGATTCCATATGATATGGAGGTTAACATAGAGATAACATGATGTGCCTGATATATCATGGATTTTCATTTCAGAGGAAAGTCGGAATCGCTTAAACAGCCATCTTGAGACGTTCGTTGGGGTAGGATTGGGAGTTGTTTCCTCAATACTCATAGTAGTTGGCATAGTGTATTGTATTTTGAGGTAAGAAATTATTTCTTTAACTATTTGTTTTATTTCTTTGTTATGTTTTAATTTAAAAAAATAAAAAAAAAGAAGATTTTTTTCTCATACGAAAGGGTATATGAAATCTTTCTCACTTCAACAAAGGGAGAATACCAAGTAACAAGTAGTGTTGTTTTAATTTTAATCCTTTGAATACTAATTAGAATTTTAAAAATGTTTGCTTCATCGTAGGATGATAACACGTAAACGTCGGAGCTCTAAACAACAAAGAAACCACTCAAATAAAGATATGGTTATTTACGGTGAGCACACTGCATTTTGTTTGTTTGTTTTTTTTTAATTTAAGAAAATATTTTTTAAAAAAGATAAAGTTCAACATTTCATTGCATCCCTTCATAAAAGAAGCAATTGGTGAGAAATTAATGTCATATTCCTAATTTCTCTAGATTCTCACATGTATGTGTTCATATATAAAAAATAGGATGAACTTAATAACACTTAAATCCCAATCAAGTGTAATAAATCTTTCTTTTTCCTACAGAAAATATTAATGAAACAACTAACTTCGACAAAAGGGATGACATCCAAGAATGTGTTTATTGGAATCAATTTTCACCAAATAAAAGTGCACGGAATAACGATGAAATATCGATCAGTAGAGATTCCAATGTGGTCAATCATGGAATATATGTTAATGACACAAATCAAAATTCAGAAAGTAAAATAAGTACAAGAGTTTGCGGAGAAGGAATCAATACAAACACACTTGTGGTAGATGAGGAGGATGCATATATGGCCATTCGTGGTTTCGATCAGGAAGAAAACATGTATGAAGAACTCAAAATAACGTAGTTACATGTAGGACGGTTGCAAATTTAATTTTATTCTCTCTTATTTCTTTCCATTTGCGACTGAAATCTTCTAAGTAGCATATTTGTTTGACAAATGGAGAAAAAACATTATGATGATTACATGGTTGAAAATTCAATATTTAATTTGACAAAGAGAGAAAAGGGATGCACAGATAAAATCGATTTTTTGTCAAGGTGCGAAAAATCAATCACCTCAAAAAATGACACTGGTCATGTGTTGTAGATATTAAACCAAGCAAAGATCTCTTCCAATGTATATGTCCATTCGCAATACTGTAAAATAATATATTTTCGTGCGGTCAAATATTCGAGGTTTCAGGAAAAAATTATGGTTTGTGGGGATTTGAATTCGTGGTTCAAAAATGTTCATAAGTGATGCATATTTAGTTTAACATTCCGTGGTGGTAAAAAAATCGTGGGTCTATCCATTCCTCGAAAACAACGAAAATTAAACCCCCACGAAAATAATTGATTTCACAGTATTATACATGTATGCATTGAAAGCCGCTGTTAATGACATTGTAAAGTCATGTAAACAAGACGGGTTCAGGTCCATACCCAGCTCCAGTATCTCATCAAAATAGGTGTATGATGTAGAAGAAACGGACGTCAAGAAACTAAACAGTGAAAGCGGCAGGTGATCATATACTGTCGTTTTTTTTTTTTATATAATAATTTGGAAAATAATGAAAGTATCAAGCTAAGATTTTCAACACTTCAATATTTTTTTTTTTTTTTTTTTTTTTTTTTTTTGCTTTATGTCCATTATTAATTTTGAAAACACAGACTACATAGTACTAATTTTTTAGCCCCAGTCCACGTTTTGATAACGCCTCGTGTATTCATTTGGGGAATGAAAAAAAATGTTAATTGTATGTATAGTAATGCTAGATTTATTTTCAAATTGATGAAACAGATGCCTCTATTTTCCTAATGAAATTCTGCTTGTCAATTGACGGTGTCGTCATGACTTGACTTTTGAGGCATAACTGAGAGAAATGACGTCGAAGAAATTATGAAATAACAAACTTTCAATTTAATAACCGGAATAAATTTTGATTTATAGTTGCCCAATTGATGCTAAATTCATCGAAAAGAAACGGCATGAAGAAAACATGAAGTTTGAACTTTGATATAAAATTGCCACAGTAATGTTTAATTTATCTTTTGACTTTAGATTAAGAAATATACATTTTCATGTACTTTGTGTTGAACACACATTTAATCACAGATTCTAGTGAAACGGTTTGGATACGTGTTTTACCTGATGAAGAGGAAAACAATCATTCGAATATCAATAAAAAGGTTTGATAGCCAAATGTTTGTCACCCTTAAAAACATAAAGGGATAACTTCAGATTTGTTCAATTAGCAGTTCGATCCACCTCGGAACTATCATGGGCTCCGTGTTTTACGCTATATAGGAGCGTTATTGTACGTTAGAACTTGAAGAAACACGTGAATGTATTATCTATCTGAAATATACATGTACTAATACAACGGAAATAAAACTTCTGAAACCATTTTTTTCCGTTTGTGTTCGTTAACATATTTATACTTAAATTCTCCATAGAAGTAAATTGTTCTCCAAGTTAATGCAAGATATCATAAGATTTTCTTCTGTCTATCATTCAAAATTACGGAATGCTCTACGTAATTAATGAATTGAAAAAGTCATTTTCAGTATTCAAGGAGCACTTATAATAATTACTTTATAACAAAATGAATATGAAGAAAGACTTCCTCTTTTTAAGTCAGCATTTCGAAAATTTTAGCATTTAGTGTTTTTATTTTGTTCTTGTTAACAAATATTATATTTCATGTTTTTGTGGCTGACGTGTTTCATACCAGTTGCTATGCATTTGTTTTTCAACGAATTTTAAAATGTTTCTACGAAATTTTTCGTCCATAAGCTACTTGATCAATACATGAAGCTAACTGCAGCTTATTCGGTCAAAAGAAGATGTTTACTGCTCCTATATACCCATTTCAACCTCTCTGGAATTTCTGGTATTTACTTGCGTCCTTGTCATGTGCCCTCTATTCAAATTTGATTTGATTTTAGATGAATTTTATATGAAATTTATTGTTGAGAATCGTAGTTCCTCTTGTGAATGTTTAACTTTACAACATACTGAATTATTATACAAAATACACTAAATGTTCACGTCATAGAAATATGCGTTTACAATTTCCCAGCAAACACTTTATTGCGTGGTACAAGTTTCTGTAAAGTTTAGCGTATTATGCCTATTATGACGTAATATTTTTTAAGTTCAGCCTTCATTCCTTGAATTAAACACTCATCTGACAACATTGAGCTTGTTTTTTGCCAAATAACACAAGACATGTTTGTTCCAAAAATATGTCATTTATTATGAAATGACAACATATAATATAATACATAAAACTGCATAAAAAAGACTGGGAGACAATGTAACCTTAAAACACAATTCCTGAGAAATATTTTAATAAGAAAATGACTTTTGTTATTTCATGAGATTTCAGCACGTATAAAATAGAAGGAATCTGGCAATAAATTGAAGATTAAATAAACTTTTTAAGGTGCGTGAAAATGCATTATTGCTGGGAAAGGTATATGCGTGATATTACGTTAGAAATAGGAAATGGTATATGCATGACTGCGGGGAATGGGGACAATGTAGTCCTGACAGCAGGGTTAGTGATTGTTATGTGTCATATCAGTAAGGTTGCAAAACCCAAGAACAACACATAAATATTTATCTTGAAAGGGAAAGAAAAAGGCTCTTTCCATGAGCATTAAAAAAGTAGGAATTGAAAATGGTTTTTCTTTTTTTTTTTTTCCTGTTTCTAAATTGGACGAGCCAACTTTAATTTTAAGAAACACCCTGGTAACTACATGTGCTAACATGAAACAGATGGAGACAGTGAACTGTATTCAAGATCAAAAGTCCACAAAACAATACAAACTAGGAGCAGAGCAAACACGGACTGCAAAAACATCAGAGGTAGGATTAGGTTCCATTGAGGAGTGAACATCCCCTACCAACTGGTCACATCCGCCTTGTGCTCTTTGTCATGATCGGAAAATAACGGAATAATCCGTCGTCAATTCAGTTACATACAGAGCGCTTACGTATACAGACTAATCTAAATCATGTGTTATATGAACTATCAGCATCGGCTCTCCTTTATTCTCCGGAAAATCAAAAAAAAAAAAATGGAGTTGGGTTTACTTATAGTGCATGATTACGACAGAAACCTTTTCATCGGATTATTTAATGAAATATTGTTGTTGAAGAATTCAAACACTCGACTCACCCTTGCATTTATCTATTTTTCTTTTTACTGAATTTTGTGTTGAAAAAAGAACAGTCGTCATGTTAATGAATGGTTTAAGAAGAAGGCATATTAAGATCTTGAAATTAGTGGCTAAGGGGCATTGTGAAAAATCATCTATCCATCTATCCATCTATCTTGTATGATTGAAAAGTGGAAATGAAAAGAATCATTTGTACTAGTCCCAGCTGACAAAGAGGGGTAATTACCTTGGGTTGTAAGGTAGATGTATTGTAAAGGAACTTGTATTTTATCCTGCAAGTGGTAATCATCATAAATACTCATAGTTCCCTTTCTAAGAATTAAATTCTTCAAAATCATATGTCATTTTTAGATTTTTTGTAATGTATTCGTAATTTTAATTACAATACTAATACTGGATTTCAGAACTTTATAAACGCTATACAAACAATGCTATGATGTGGGTTCCAGCGAGCTTGAGATAAAAGATACCAAAGAGTCTGATATATCTGTTTGATAATTGGATACTTTTTATGAGATAGACGTTAGTGGTAATCTAACAACCAAGCTTTATGATAAACGAGATGACTTTAACTTTTCTATCGTCAACTTCCGTCACTTATGCAGCAATATACCTTCATCACCCGCATACAGAGTTTATATAGGTCATTTGATTTCTTATTTAAATATGAAGTGTAACAGCAGTGAATAGCACACTTAAGGAATATTCACTTCACTATTCATCAGAAAAACAAGTTTTCATAAAAATTCACCGTTCACGATAGCTCAGTCGGTGGAGCGTTCGCTCCGTGATCGGGAGGTCGGGAGTTCGAACCTCGGCCGCGACTGACATAAGTCGATAAAAAATGGGTAGCAACTGTTCCCTCAGCATGCGCTCGGCATTTTGAAGTGAAAGTTGCGGGTCCTTCGGATGAGACCTTAAAAACCGAGGCCCCGTGTCAGCGGCAGGCGTTGGCACGATAAAGATCCCTCACTGCTCAATGGCCCTGAGTGCCGAGTAAAGGTCAAAATTTGAAGCCTTCACCAGCATACGGTGACGTCTCCATATGAATAAAAAATTCTCGAGAGGGACGTTAAACAATATACAATCAATCAATCAACAATCATAAAAATCCTTTGGGCATTATTTTCATACTGAAATGTCTACGGATGAAAATGAGCACACGGAGGCTGTGACCGTTAAACATGGGGTGCTTACTCCTCCACGTCACTTGTTTCAAAGTTTTTAAGAGGTCCATTTTTGCTCTTCACCTGGTGTGCTTCAATGCTTTTGAGCATGATGTCTGTTCCTTATCGTCCTATTTCATTTACAGTGAACTAATTACAAATATTATTTCCCAAACTAATCAAAGTTTATTGAAAATGGTAAAATTTAAATTCTTAAAAAGATAATCATTGATAAATATAGTCATAAACGTGTTTCCTACAATCCGTCCGTGATCGTGAGAGCCCGGTCTGACAGCTGTCCGATTCTCAATCTTGCGCCTTATAAGGCTGAAAACTCTGCAGGCGGAAGTATATATACAGACCCTAAACCGTGCTACTACACTACTTGCACGGTACGGTTCGATACGCTTTGTGAACGGAACGGTTCGCTTTGTGAACGGTACGGTACGCTTTGTGCACGGAACGGTTCGCTTTGTGCACGGAACGGTACGCTTTGTGCACGGAACAGTACGCTTTGTGGACGGTACGGTTCGCTTCTTGCACGGAACGGTACGCTTTGTGGACGGTACGCTTTGGGAAACGGTATGCAAATGAAGTGGGCGGAGCCTGTTAGCTTTGGTTCTTGACTGGCTGCTAATTTTACAATTTTATTTCCGTTATTACAGAATGTAATTTATTTATTATTCAAATCAATTGAAGTATCAATGAGTTTCTATTTATTAGAGAAGTTCAAATGTTTTATTACATGTATGTTATTGTGTCGATCATAGTCTTGTATGCTATGTCTCGGTTTCAATTTTAACTAGAGGTACTGTGAGCGATTTAAATATTATGGTTATAACTTG